ACAGAATTATCAGCTACAAAGATGAACATGATTTGTTAAGGAAGAGCCAACACTTTTGTTGGCTTTTGTAAAGATAAATCATGCCTCAAACTATTAAAATTCTTTCAGGAGGTCAACAAATGTGTGGACAAAGGTTATCCAGATAAAGTTACACCCATGCTTAAGTATTTTCACAACTGGATTCTATGAGAGCTCTTAAATCTGACATCCTAGATGAGCAGACAGAAAGCTACACAAAAGAAAGAAAAAGACAAATTCCTTATTCTTAGAACAAATACAAAAGGCTCCTGTCATAAATATAAAGGGAAGGGTAACCACCTTTCTGTATACAGTGCTATAAAATCCCTCCTGGCCAGAGGCAAAATCCTTTCACCAGAGGCAAAACCCTTTCACCTGTAAAGGGTTAAAAAGCTAAGATAACCTGGCTGGCACCTGACCAAAATGACCAATGAGGAGACCAGATACTTTCAAATCTGGATGTGGGGGGGGGGACAAAGGGTCTGACCATCTGTGTGATGCTTTTGCCGGGAACAGATCAGGAACGTAGCCTTACAATTGTTAGTTAGTAAGTAATCTACCTAGAAATGCGTTAGATTTCCTTTTGTTTAATGGCTGGTAAAATAAGCTGTGCTGGATGGAATGTATATTCCTATTTTTGTGTCTTTTGTAACTTAAGGTTTTGCCTAGAGGGATTCTCTATGTTCTGAATCTGATTACCCTGTAAGGTATTTACCATCCTGATTTTACAGAGGTGATTCTTTTACCTTTTCTTTAATTAAAATTCTTCTTTTAAGAACCTGATTGCTTTTTCATTGTTCTTAAGATCCAAGGGTTTGGGTTTGTGTTCACCTGTACAAATTGGTGAGGATTCTTATTAAGCCTTCCCCAGGAAAGTGGGTGTAGGGTTTGGGGGGATATTTTGAGGGAAAGACGTCTCCAAGTGGGCTCTTTCCCTGGTCTTTGTGTAAGACGCTTGTTGGTGACAGCATACGGTTCAACGCAAGGCAAAGTTTGTACCTTGGGGAAGTTTTTAACCTAAGCTGGTAAGAATAAGCTTAGGGGGTCTTTCATGCAGGTCCCCACATCTGTACCCTAGAATTCAGAGTGGGGAAGGAACCTTGACAAGCCCCTTGTGTTGAAAGAAGACCAAGGTGTACATGATTGCAGAAGCAGAATTTGGCTCTGAATGTAAAACGCAACAATAACATTAAAACTGGAAGAATAAGATTTCTGTAGCTTCAGTAATGCGCAAAAAGCTCTTTGACCACATCTATATCAAGGCATAAAATATGTTGCTTCCACTTTAAATATAATGTAAACAAAACGGAACCTGGTCTGTCTAAAAGGACAACTGTCACATTAATTCAATAACTATTTGTCCATTCCCAGTTTCTTCTATATGGTTTTGCACTCAAGGACTGATGAAGTAAATTCTTTCCATTGTCTCAATCTAGAAATTGGCCATCACAGGATCAAAACAAATGTCAGTTCTGATAGTGCCAAGCATGCACTGATGTTGCTTGGCTAAAGGCTATAGAAAATGGAAATTGAAGGCCACAGGAGTTCTGCATATTTAGCGAATAGTAAGCTCTCTGATACAGTCACTGGTTAGTAAATAATTGGCTGGTTTTATGTTTAAAGATAAACACAAAATTGTGTTTATGAAAGGTTGTCATCATGACAAAAGATCTGTTGTGTTGTGCTGTTTAATATTTAAATCAAACTTGGAATGAGAACCATAGTTTGAGAGTCAGGAACTCTTGAGTTCTAATGTCTATTCTGATATTGCCATCCCTTGGTCTTGAACAAGTTGCTTAGGCCTATATTTTCAGAAGTGGCTAATAATTTTGAGTAGGGTTGCCAGGTGCCCAGTTTTCGACCAGAAAGTCTGGTAGAAAAGGGGACCTGTCAGTGTCCGGTCTGCACAGCCGGGGCCGCCTCCTACCTGCATCTAGTGGTCAGGCAGTTTCCGCATCAGGCCACAGCTCTGGGGCAGAAGGAGCCCAGTGTGGGTGTGGAGAGGGAGGTGGATAGGAGCCAGCTACGAAGAAGGGGGAGGGGTGAGAGCAGTGAGTGGGGGATGGGGACAGGGGGAGAGGAGTGAACGAGGGTGGGGCCTTGGGGGAAGAGGCAGCACAAGGCATGGAGCCTCACGGAAGAGGCAGGCAGGGCTAGGGCCTCCAGTGGAAGAGGTGGGACAGGGGGCGGGGCATGAGGGTCTGGTTGTCTACAATTAGAAAGTTGGCAACCCTAATTTTGAGTGTACAACTTGCCACACTTCAGAAGTTATGAGCACCCAACAACTCCAGTTGAAGTTAATGATGGTTTCAGATGCTCAGTACCCCTGAAAATCAGGCCCGAGAAATCCCAAGCTGGACCCTCCAAACCAAGGCATTCATAATTAGTGCTTAGAAAATGTAGGTCTTAATCTGTCTCCTAGATCTGAGTTAAATGTTTTACCCAAAACTACGCCACACTTGAATTCTGTCTGTTGTTTGTAAATTGTTTGTAAGGATTTTACAAATTTTTTTGTTGCAAAAGATGTTTGTTTAACTAATAAATAAATGCATAAACAAACAACTCCCCCCCATGTTTGAATTACATTTTGGATTTGAGCTTGACTCATTAGGATGAAGGAAGGCACATAGTATATGTTGTATGCCTGTGTGTTTCGAGTTACATATCTACTTTTGAGAACTCCCTGAGAAGAAGGCGTCTTCCAGGATGCAGTCCCCAGCTGGGTTTTGAAACCCTAGACTTAATGGGAGCGGTTGCAGGCGAGTGAGCCTAGGAATTGAACCACAGGTCACAGACTGTGGCACTCTGAACCTTAGGGGAGAGGACAAAAGGTGCTTTTCGGAGAGATGGACAGTAGTTATTAAATTAGGCCTCCGGAAAAGTGGTCTGCAGACCCTGTTTATTAAGTTCCATTTGGTTATATCTGTGGAAATCCATTAAAGACAATGAGGGTTGAACAAGTGTCACTGATGGTTTATTTGGCCTTTTATTACTGATGGTGATGCATGAAAAGAACCCAGCTCATATCTTAGTTTAAATTTGTAAGGCTGGTAATAATAATAATAATTAATAATCCTCAAATTAGAAATGAACACAATCAATGTGGTGTGATTGAATAATTTATGGGGAACTTTCATGAATAATAATATGCTAATATTTATATTTTACAAAGAAAACAGGAACAGAAGTTATTACTTGTATTCAGAAGGGGACTAATTGTAAAACAGAGTTAGGGTCAAAAATGATTCTGTAGGGAAATATGATTTATTATTTATCACCTAGAAGCCCCAATCAGGGAAGAGGACCCTATTGTGATAGGAACTCTGAACATATATACAGTGAAAAGATGGTCCCTTACTCAAAAAGCTTACAAACTCAATAAAAGATGACACAACAGCTGCTTAGAAGAAGGCAGTGAGGGGAAGAGTACAAATTAGCAATGCGATGATGATTAGCATAATAAGATCACCAATGGATTATCCATGCTCTAATCCTCATGCACATTAGAGCTAGATCATGATTATATCTGCCCTGAAAAGGGACAATGTGTTGTTATGCTGTCCAACAGGAACCCTGGAGGCAGTCTAGAGAGGAAGTAACCTGAGCCGAATTTATATCTAGCAGAGCATATGCTGTTCTCTATGTAATGACAGTAAGTTTCCTGCTTTTTACTCCTGTTAATATTCCAGGATAAATAAGAGAGCAAGCTATATTTTCCTCTGGTTTGTGAACTGTTGTTGGAATTGTTAAACAAGGCCCAGAACTACAAAGACTTAGGCTGTTTGCCAGAAGCTGGGAATGGGCGACAGGAGATGGATCACTCGATGACTACTTGTTCTGTTCATTCCCTCTGGGGCACCTGGCATTGGCTGCTGTCAGAAGACAGGATACTGGGCTAGATGGACCTTTGGGCTGACCCAGTATTGCCGCTCTTATGTTCATGCTGCAGCAGTACAGCTGCGACCCCGCAGCTGTAGCATAGATACTTACCACAGTAAGTCCACCCTCTAGAGCGTTTACAGCAGTGCAAGTGCACAGATGTGGCTGCGCCGCTGTCTGCTCTCTATTGTAGCCACTCTAAGCCCATGGGGGAGAGACCTCTCGCCTTTACTTAATTAAACCACCCCCAGCAAGCAGCCACAGCTATGTCGGTGGGAGAAGCTCTCCACACCTGGGTGCAACTTATGTCCCTTGGGGGCGGCTTCAGCCCTGGGCCCCAGTGAATCTAACAGCGGCCCTGGTGACCCCATTAAAACAGGGTCTCAACACCCACAGTTGGAGTACTGCTGTGCAGCAGCTTCCCATTTTTTGCTGGAGCCCCCTTTGCCCTGTAAAGTTGGGCACCCTTGCTCTCTCAGACAGAAATGTTTCATCTCCTTTCTCGGACTGGCCTGCCCATCGTGGGTTCTGACTTTTCTTTTTAAAGAAGTCTCAGTGAAAAGTGGATTTTTTAACGAATACCAACTCCACTGCGGTGTCTAAAACCAAACCAGCACAGCCGTGAGCAGGGGTGCTGCCGGAACAATCTGACAAACAGTCGGGGGTGCAGTGGGAACCCAGAGTGCCTGTGACCCTGAGCCCCAGCAGCGGCGCAATGCAGAGAGGGGAGCGCTCACGGGCAGCAGTACGGGGAAGGGATGGTTCAGTCCTTGCTGAGCCGGAGCGCGGCTCGGCAGGGGGCGAGGAGTCCGCTCTCGGCTGCGGCAACGGCCTCACGTTAGCGGCGTGCGCGTGATTTTGGCGACTAGCGCCCACTGCCATTAGGCGGTCCCAACGCTGGGTGGGGGTGGGGGTGTCTCTGCCCTGCCCCGCCCCCAAGCCGGCTGGCGGGGAGCCCGCGCACCGAGAAGAGCGCAGCAGCCGGCAGAACCGGCTCGCGCTGGGCGTTCGGAGTGGAACGGTCTCTGCGGGGGCGTGGCCGGAGGTCCTAACCGCCGCCTCTCTTTCCCTAACCCCTCCCCCGCCCTTCTTTCTGCGCTTGCGCGGGGGGCGTCTGCCGGGGCGCCGCGTGCGCTGGGGTTTCCCCTGCCGGCCGGAAGTTGTGCTGCCTTCCCGAGTCCTGCTGTCAACATGGCCGCGGCGAGCGGGCGGCGCCGGCTCATCTGGGCAGCAGGTAAACCCGGGGGCTCGTCATTCCCCGCGCCGCGGCCCGCCAGCGTGGGGAGGGGCAGGGGGATGCGCGCGTGGGGAGCTCGTGGCTGGGCCGTGGCGGGAGGGTCTTTGCGGGAGCGGATGTTAGGAAGGGGGGGGGGAGAAGGAGGAGGTTTGGGGGTAGGAGTTATTGCCCCAGAGCTCCTTGCAGGCGGGAAGGCTGAGGGATGAGAGGGGAGAGAATCGGGATGTGGGTCTGTTGCGGGGAGGGGGACGAGACGGGGCAAAGACCCTCCGAATAAGAGTGGTCGGACCAAGCATGATGCAAAGCAGACGGGGTAAATTCACTAGCTCAGTGGTTTTCAACCTTTTTTTCTGGGGACCCAGTTGAAGAAAATTGTTGATGTCCCTGACCCAACAGAGCTGGGGTTGAGGGGTTTGGGGTGTGGGAGGTTACTTGGTTATTTCTGATTTCCTTATAGGGGTTGGAGTGAGGGCTGCGGGGTGGGGCTGGGAATGAGGGGTTCAGAGTGTGGGAGGGGGCTCTGGGCTGGGGCCTGGGATGAGGGATTTGGGGTGCAGGAGGGGCTCAAGGTTTGGAGGGGGCTGAGGGATGGGGCAGAGGGTTAGGATGTGGGAGGGGTCAGGGCTCTGGCCTTGGGGTGCAAACTCTAGGATGGGGCCAGGGTGCAGGGAGGGGTTCGGGGTGGGGGGGCTCAGGGCTGGGGCGCAGGCTTACCTCTGGCGACTCCCAGTCAGCGGCGAAGTTAGGGTGCAGAGGCAGGCTTCCTGCCAGTCCTGGCACCGCAAATCGCACTGTACCCTGGAAGCAGCCAGCAGCAGGTCCGGCTCCTAGACGGAGGTACGCAAGCAGTTCTGCATGGCTCTCGCTTACAGGCCAATGGCAGCACGGAGCCGGTGCTCGGGGCAGGCGAGAGCTGTGCAGAGCCGCTTGCGGAGCCCATGGCCACCCTGCCTAGAATCCGGACCCGCTACTAGCCACTTCCGGGGTGCAGCGTGGTGTTGGAACAGGTAGGCACTAGTCTTCCTTAGCTGGGAAGCACCGCCAACGGGACTTTTAATGTCCTGGTCGGTGGTGCAGACCAGAGCTGCTAGTTTCCCTGAGTGCTGAGCAAGGCGACCCAGTTCCTTATATGCCATGACCCAGTACTGGGTCATGACCCGAACTTTGAAAAGTACTTCACTAGATTATTTCCATAAGTATGGGGCACATTAGAGGTGCCTGCAGTGCGTCCCTATGATAAAGCGTAAGGGGTGAAGGGATTGATTGGAGGGGACAGTAGTGACAATGAATTAATCAGAGTAAATGCCATTAGCCTGTCCTGCAACCTACTTACTACTTTTCCTGCCCCCTCCCCTTTTTTCTGGTAGCTGCTGCACTTGTCTTGACTTTAGATGCAGCTTTTGTGGAAGACTTAGATGACTCGTAAGTACTCCTATTTTATTGTCACATGAAATGTTGCCTAGGTATTTCTTTGTTTGTTTTCCTGGAGGTTCTGCTCCTTTCTTGCTTTAGTGCGCTGTGGTATTACTCTGCTGAAAATGCTGAATAAGTCTTGTTTCTTTCTCTAGCAGCAACCGTGAAATGCATGAAAGAAAAGGATGTGGTTTGTATAAATAGTACCTCATAACTAGTAAGTTGAAGCACAATGAGCATGGCTTAGTTTTGCAAAGGCTGCGTGTTGTTTTAAGAGGCTGTGAATAGGGATCACCATTTTGGAAGACTGAAGAATAAGAGACTAAATAGACACAGTAATAAATATGTTTTTTTCCTCCCGTGTTTCTAACTATGGTAGTACGTTCAAATCTGGTCAAGGGTTTTAGTGAGGAAGAAGCACATTTTCATAGCTAGAGAATTTTTGTAAAACATCTGTTAAAGGAAAGCACTGCTGGGTTTCTATGTGTTTAGTAGAAGTTTCCTACAGTATCTGCAAGCCTTCAGTGAATTGTGCAAATATCTGTATTTGAAAGTGTGGACAACTTCTAGTTCAGTGCCCTTGGAAACTTAATTTAATAAGCTTGAGTTGTCCAAATGTGTATGTTGTGGTTCTTTATCAAACAAGTGCTGGTATAGGGCCACAAATCTGTGGCATATCTGCATATAAATAACTGGAAGGTCTGAAGGGTAAACATTTTCAGTTTATGTCAAAAGTCCAGCAGCAGGTTCTAGTGCACATACAGCAAAGATTTATGAAAGTAGAATATGGGTGAAAGCTTTGCATTGTTTTTATTGATTTGAATTATATTAGTTCATAGAGGTCTGTCAAGGTTCCTCCCCCACGCTGAACTCTAGGGTACAGATGTGGGGACCTGCATGAAAAACCTCCTAAGCTTATCTTTACCAGCTTAGGTCAAAACTTCCCCAAGGTACAAAATATTCCACCCTTTGTCCTTGGATTGGCCGCTACCACCACCAAACTAATACTGGTTACTGGGGAAGAGCTTTTTGGACGCGTCTTTCCCCCCGAACTACTTCCCAAAACCTTGCACCCCACTTCCTGGACAAGGTTTTGTAAAAAGCCTCACCAATTTGCCTAGGTGACTACAGACCCAGACCCTTGGATCCTAAGAACAATGAACAATCCTCCCAACACTTGCACCCCCCCTTTCCTGGGAAATGTTGGATAAAAAGCCTCACCAATTTGCATAGGTGACCACAGACCCAAACCCTTGGATCTGAGAACAATGAAAAAGCATTCAGTTTTCTTACAAGAAGACTTTTAATAAAAATAGAAGTAAATAGAAATAAAGAAATCCCCCCTGTAAAATCAGGACGGTAGATACCTTACAGGGTAATTAGATTCAAAAACATAGAGAACCCCTCTAGGCAAAACCTTAAGTTACAAAAAAGATACAAAGACAGAAATAGTTATTCTATTCAGCACAGTTCTTTTCTCAGCCATTTAAAGAAATCATAATCTAACACGTACCTAGCTAGATTACTTACTAAAAGTTCTAAGACTCCTTTCCTGGTCTATCCCCGGCCAAGACAGAATATAGACAGACCCACAGACCCTTTGTTTCTCTCCCTCCTCCCAGCTTTTGAAAGTATCTTGTCTCCTCATTGGTCATTTTGGTCAGTTGCCAGCGAGGTTACCTTTAGCTTCTTAACCCTTTACAGGTGAGAGGAGCTATCCCCTGGCCAGGAGGGATTTCAGAGGGGTTTACCCTTCCCTTTATATTTATGACAAGGTCCCATTTTGGTAGCCAGGCATTATACAAACACATGGAAATAATAATAAGTCCTTATCCCAAAGAGCTTACAACCTAATTATAGGAGAGAGAAAAAGGATGGTAGGGGAAACAGAAAGATGAAATGAGACAGCAGGCCAGTGGCAGAGGTGGGAATAGAAACTAGGTCTCTAGACTCTGTCTATTAGATCACTCTGATTCATTGTACTAGTTCCTTAAAAAGCGGTATCTGCTGATAAACTACTTAGCTGAAGATGGAAGAATTTTGTATTCAAAAACAGGTACATGTGGCCGAAAAAAGCATCTGTAGGAAGTTCTGTAAATGTGCATGTCAGTAACCTCCATTTCCCCAATCCCTGTTATCTATATTAGATTCTCTATTATACACATTTATCAGTTGTCTGTAGATCAGGGGTGGGCAAATTACGGCCTGGGGGGCCGCATCCTGCCTGTCAGACCTTTTAATCCAGCCCTCGAGTGCCTCATTTCTGGCCCCACCCCAGAGCTCGCACCCCCAGCTGGAACCCTCACCCCCTCCCACACCCCAGCCCCCAATTTCATACGCATTCATTGCCCATCATACAATTTCCATACCCAGATGTGGCCCTCAGGCCAAAAGGTTAGCCTGACCCTGCTGTAGATTAGTAAATTACCAGGCTGTAGCACATGCTACTTTTCCTGCTTGATTTACATCCAGCCCTCTGTCCTTTGACAACTTTAATTGGGTATTATGGAGTTATTCATGACCCTATATAATGCTATGTTGATATTTACATGGTCCTGAAAATACAGTATTATAATTTGGTTGTAAAAATTATCTCTGGGCTCAAATTTGGTTTATTATGTGTCAGGTCAGGAACACATATGTAGATGCTTCATAATTAAGGCTTTTTAAAAAGTTTGAAATACTTTTTACATTGGGTTAAAATAATATTTTGCTTTTGCCTAATTCAGGCACTCACTGCTTTATAATAGTATTTACTAGGGATTTATAAGGTTTAATGTTGGAAGTAACAGTCAATAATACTAATGTTGAAAAATTGCTATCTGCTACAGAGAATGTGCACTATCTCACAGGAATTTAGTCTAACACAAGTGACAATATGAATTTAAAATATCGACCATAATTTCTACCAAGGACTCCATAAAATGCATTTTCAAATTTCATACACATTTATAAAAGGTATCTTTGGCAAGGGGGAGTTTATATTATGTGATTCTTTCTTAGAAATTTAAACTAAATTAAGTTTAAATAATGTAAAACTGACAAAGATAAGAATATCAAAATATAAGTCTTCAGCTTTTATATTTTTGCCAGTCCATCTCTTAGTAAAAAAAAAAGGACACTTAAATTCGGTTTAAAATTTAAATTTTGTGTAAACAAGCTTTATAGAACCATAATTTGACATACTGGTTTAGATTCTATCAGTATCAATTGTTTCTCAACAAACACATCCCTTCAGATAGTGTAGCATTAAGAGCTTGAATGAGAAACTGACTTGACTTCCTTTATAGAGTGAGGAGGTGGGTGACGCAGTACCTTTTTTTGGACCAGCTTCTATTGGTGAGAGAGAGACTCTGTTTTGAGCTTACACAGAGCTCTTTTCAGGTCAACTTGAGAGAAATGAAAAAAGTAATATGGCATAAATAGTGCGAATAGTAACATAGGTTAAAATGATTTATAATATATCTTTGAAATTTCTTGTCTCTTTAGCCTCTTGTGAAGATGTTATTCGGTACTTAAAAAAGAAAAAAAAATGTGTGAGGGTAGCAGTCCAAGGTCTGAATGGGAAATTAAACTTGCTTATTGCATTGCATCCTGTTCCTGTCCACTTTCTTGATTTTTGTGCCCTGCCATCCGCTGGTTTTTATTCACATCTTTGACTGTGTGCCTTAATATTCCATATGAGCTAGAAGCAGAATGCTTTGGTTGCATAAGTAACATATATATGAAAAATGTCTGTAGTTGCTTTGGAGGTGGCAGGGATGGGTTCTTTGTCATATTTTCAGATTACAAGTTGCAGAGGATATATTCTAACTGCAAACAGAACCTGGGATCTGAAAATCAAACTGTTGATTTCTTCTTCTTGCATCATCACCAATGTTTAAGATTTCATAATTAGAGGTTGCCAACGTATATTTAATGCACAAGGGACAATAGAATCCACTTATATCTTTCTTTAGTTCTACAGTGCAAACAACAGTAAAATTGATTTTCAGTAAAATAAGTAGATAAGGCATGTCTGGCTAAAAAAACCTGTAAACATTTTGTATAGTTTCTTTAACATAATCAGGTATTTCAGATAGTCTTTCGACAGTCGTCATCATCATCTTTGTTTCATGTTTGGTTCTTTCAACAAACTGTTTGAACAGGTTGTACTAAATTCACCCAGTCCCCTCCGGACATTTGAGCATGCATTTGCTCTAGTACCTCGGAGCAGAGGGCTAAATAAAGCATTTCAGCCATAACATGGCTGTGACAAAATATAGTTAAAAGATAGTACTTGTATTGTTAACACTTCAGCAAGCAAATTGTAAATCTTTTCTTTTCCCCTCCAAGCATTTAGTTAACTTCTTAAAACTTGCTTTTAAGGTTTCTTTTGATTATTTAAAACTAAAAGGTGAAAGGAGGGAAATCTAGTGAGTTAGGTAGCTCAACCTCCTCTGTAGGTGTATGAGATAAAACCATATTCTAGGTCATATGTAACTGTGGTGGTCTCATATTGCCTGCCTACAGCCATCAGAAAATCTCAACTTACTTGCATTTAACCAAGTTCATCCCTTGTTTTCTTGCGCCAGTTAGGTCCTAAATGTGTCGCTTCCAGGCCTGTGATCAGTCCCTTACAATGATCATTATGACTCAGATTTTACTCATCTGGTCTGACTTACTGCCTAACACAAGCCATAGAACAAATGTGTTTTACACACCTAGATGCATTTAGTGATCTTTCCTTGGGAGAAGCTTGGAGCTGTGGTAGCAAGGGCATTACTAACTAAAACTGAGATGTGTTGGCAGACTTCAGTAGGGAAGCCTATGCAATGCATGAATGTTGTTACCTTTGGATCTGATTGCTATTAGGTCCTCACTAACATAAACTGTAGTCTGTTCACAAATAACTTTCCAGTAAGTGCTCTCATAGTCATCTAATTGCAATGACAAGCAAAATAGACTCATAAATACATACAAAATTCATCTTGTTAGGTACTTCTTTTAACCTATTATAATCATTATAATGTGTATTTCATAAGGACTTCCCTGGTAGCTATGTCATAGACTTCCAATTCACATTCAACTTAATGCAAACTCTACAATACTGTTAAAACTAGTCAATTTGTTATCTTGTCAGTCATTACTCTAACATTAAATAAAGCCAGAAAATATAGATTAGTATTGTTTGCTATCTTAACCATTTTTTCTTATTGTCATTTACCCTTACTTCAGTAGTTCTGGGATTTTTTTTTTTTTTATTGTTGCTGGACTAATACAATACACTGCAGTGTGAAATACACAAGGAATTTTAATAGTAAAATGCTGATGGGCTTAATATGCCTGCCATATTTTTGCTTTGATCTTCTCTTCCTTTTTTTTTTAACCAGGTCCCAATATACCCCTCCTTTAGAAACAAATAGTGTATTTGTGTGCTTGTGTATAGACATGTCACAAGCTGTGCTTTTCTTTTTTAGGTTTAAAGACAATCGTAAAGATGACATTTGGCTTGTAGATGTGAGTATGTGAGAAGTATTAAGATTCATACTTTGTTGAAACTTAACAGCTTTCCATTAGTTTCGTTTGAAAAATAAAAGAACCGGTATATACTACACAATGTTATAAAGCTGCTCAGTAATTTGAAATCAGAGTTTTTCTGTATCGTGGTGAAAAACGATTTGTTATGTTCCATCTGCTGGTAGGATGGATAAGCTGTTTGCTGTGTACAGGATGGTCCAGGAATTGGTCTGCTTGCATTAAGCACTTACTGTTTTGCCTTGCATTTATAAAGTAATTTGATATTGGAGGAACTTTTTTTTAAAGAGGAAAACTAACCCATAGCTGTATGTGCTAATGTGTATACTTCAGATTTTAGCTCTTGTATCATGTTCATTGTTCAAAATAATTTATTTCACTGTCTAATATACTTGGAAAGTGTTATGTTCAGTATTCTCTAGTTCTAAGACTAGGTGTAGAACAGAAAATTGAATTCAAAGTAAGGTTTGTGCAACTGAATACAGTTGCCAAATAGCTCATATTAACCATATTTGTTGAGAAATAAGTGGCAAATTATATATAGTATCTTCTGAATCAGAAACTTCCACAAAGGCAAAACCAACCCCCTTCTCAACTGGAAAATCAATTTCCTGGGCCCGTGATCCTTCAGCACTGACTTCAGTGAGTGTAGGATTAAGTCCTTGGTAGGTAGGAGGATGGAAGGAATTCATCCAGCTGCATCCTGGCTCTGAAGGAAATAGGAGTTGGTTTGCACTATGTGATGGGATATACAAACTGGAGAGCAAGGGGTTAAGGAACAGCTCTGGGCCCAGGCAGTCCCGCCCAGTCATACCTGCTAAGCTTGTAAAAGCTGGAGGCAGTGCTCTAAAAAGGAGAGCAGAGCAGTTCAGACGGAGGAAGCAGAGGGCTGCTCTGAAGGGAAAATAATGCCCAGGAACTCATTCCCTGGGATCTGGCAACGTAGGCCTGTGCAAACTCATGGAGGAGAGGCAGGCAACTGAGATTGCGGGCCAGAGACTTGACTATAGTGAGTTATTTAGGAAACAAAAGTAGACTGGGTAGGAGGGGGCTGGCAGCGGTCTAGCATGCCGAGGTGTCAAGTGTAGCTGCCTACCACTATGCCCTGGAACAGCACAGTGGAGAGATGGACCTGGCTCCCCTACCCACTCCGAAAGGACATTACCATCCCAGGAGTCTTCACCTAGATGAGACACCGTCTGGAAGAGGCCTTGACTATTCAAGGACCCAACCTCAACAAAGTTTCTGTGCTAAAGGGAAGGACTGGAAATCACTGGGGCAGGGACACAGAAGAACTGGACTGTGCTTTCAAAGGGCAGGTGCTCTGCCAAATTCCCGCCTAACCATTTGGTGGTACTGTTAGTGATTGTGCAACTACTACACACTACTAAATGCAAATATTATAACATAAATGTTTATGGTTACAGGATATGTGCTCACTTGTGTTCAACACCCTCCTTCCTTTTGAAATCTGAAGTCATGGTAATCTGCTTCTTGTTTTGAGATTTCCTCCAAACAGGCTTATCTGGCAGGCGATAGAGATAGCAAATAAATTAAACTTACCTTATATAAGCTTAAATTCCTTTATACTGATATCAGTCTAGTCCCCCATCAAATACTATATCAAGGTGATACATTTTTTCCCCCTCCAGGTACACTTTTTTTAGAAGATAAGATTGCATAGTCTGCTTCTGTCCTGTGGCTTTTCATAGACAAGAGCACTGCATTGAAGAGAAATATAAATTACTAGCAGGTTTTTCCTAAAAAAATAAACCAAGAGAGGATTATCTGTTTAGCAACTTTTGTTGGTTTTCCAAATGTGTGGCTTGAGAGTTCCATGTTTATGTAGAGTTCACTGATTCTGTTTAATGCCACCCTTCTGACTTGTTTTCAGTTCTATGCACCTTGGTGTGGCCATTGCAAGAAATTGGAGCCTGTGTGGAATGAAGTTGGTATAGAGATAAGAAGCAGTGGGTCTCCAGTAAAAGTTGGGAAGATGGATGCGACTTCCTATTCTAGTAAGTATGTGTTGTGTAGGCATAGTTTCATTGTCAACTAGTTTTGAAAATGAAACAGCCAGAAGGATTACTATTAAAAAAAGGCTATATCATATAAACAAACGGATTTGTCTTGAAGGATCTGCTGGCTAAGTGTAGCAGTAAGTATCGAAGACGTGACACTATCGTATCCCACTGTTAGTGACTTTTCAACTCATGCTGCTATGACTTACCTCTTCAACCAAAACCTCAGATCCTTATACACTTAAAACAAATAAGAAGAGAGGAGTAACCTCATAGAAGATAGGGCCCTGAAAAGTGCTATCTTTGGTACAAGTTTCTTTAATTTCTTTTTAAGGTGCTTGATCTGATTTACAGCGCCCACCATAATAAGATACAACTTCTCTGTTTTAGGTTCCTTACTTTACTGTTACTAGATCAAATAGATCTACTTGCACTTTCAGAATTGTAAAGTGCTTTCTCATGGTCAATCCTTAAGGAATTACACACATCTTGTTGAAATCATTGCCTCACTGGCCAGCAGATTTCTGTCCACCTTCTCATTAAGCCTTCTCTTAAAAAGACACTGTTATCTTCAATATTTGAAATTGATTAACTTAAAAAAATCCATCTTCTGATTGTAAAAAACGGTCAAGAAAAAATATTTGTATTTTGTTTTCCTGTTATATTTAAAAGTGTCATTTTGGGCGTGCCAGATGTCCTAGGGCTCCCCTTCCTCTCTGTGCACACACTTGCCTATTCTGATTTCACTTTTAGCTATGCTGGTACACTTACTGTAAATATACTCTTGCAAGGCCTATGGAAGAGTGTGCAGGAGAGCTTCCCTAGGGCTGTGCGTGAAGATGATATCATTCTGCTTGTATTTGTGACAGATAGTGCAGCAGACGATGAAAATTGAAACTGTGCAAAGTGCCATCAAATACAGAGTGTAACCAAATGAACAAAAATGTTTTTTCTAACCCTGGATTATTGTTTTCAAATGGAAATGTGACTGTTTTTAAGTTGAAAATGTAATATTGGTTGGTTTTGTACTGTGATGATTCCCAAGAGTCCCAATCATGATTCTTATTATGTTAGACCATGTATGACCGTATCATACTGATCAGTAGTTCTTACAGCACATTATAAAGGAAGAAGGCATCATTATCCCTGTTTTATAGAGAGGGAAATGGAGGCAGAGAGAGGTGAAGTGCCTTGATCAAGGTCACCCAGTTGGCTAGTGGCAGTTGGGAATGTAACACAGCTCTCCTGATTCCCAGTCAAGCGCTCTGCCTACTAGGCCATCTGAATAAGAGTTCCCATCCTAAAGTGCATATGCCTGTTAGGAGTCCAGTGTAGGATTGGGGCTTAAGCAGTTCTTTCATCCTTCAGTTATCTTGTTTTCACTGCATTTTAATTTATTATACCTGTAGGAGAGGTGTTTCCAGACCATTTCTGAAGGGGGACATCGGAATTTTTGTCCAGCACTAGCGAGGTTGCTGTTCAGTTCCCATTCTTAGTCAAACAGGTGTGGCATTCGGAGTTAATGCCTCAAAATCTTGCTGGGGCTTAGTTTGAAAATTGGTAACTTCTTTGGTTGCTTAAAGTGGACATTGTACAGACATGAAACACATCAGTGAAGTTCACCAATGTCCTAAATTGTTTTTAGGAGAATCTCTTTGCTAGGAAAGAGGATAATTGGGGATCTTCTTGGTAATAACTGATGTTGCAAGCCATTCTAAACTATACAGATGAAGGGGGTAGTCTGGCTCACAGGAAGCTTGGGTAGTTTTTTAGAAGTGGATGGCTGTGCACAAGCCAGTGAATAGAGGGAAATGATGCAGCATTGGAGGAGAGAGAACATCAGATGTGTCCTCACAAGAAGAAAACATAAGCAGCAACTTGTGTTTAGGGGTATATAGTGTTTAGCTAGTACTGAGCAGAAAGCTTCTGTCACACTCAGTTGTACAACATAGGGGTTTAATGGATAAATACACAGACTCTTGGATCAGTTGCCATGAGTCTTAATAGGATTCTGACTTTGAAGTCCCCTTTCGCATATGCCAAATAAAACTCCCTCACACATCATGCATGGCTGCCTGCACCTAGGGGGCTGGCTATAACACCATTTGTACATTGACATACTAAGACTAGGTCAAATAGGGGATAGGGCTCTTTTTCCACAATGAAGAAGGGGATGTTAGTGCATCACAATGAGTCCACAGTCAATAGGGATGTGGAAAATCTTTTAGCATTGCTGTATGTCTCCACCAGGGCATGTAGAAACTGAAAATTAATCTTGCGGGGAGAGGGGGATAGGAGATGAGCTGAAAACTAGCGAGAAACCTCCTACTCAAGAGCTTCTGGGTTTATTCATTCATTTTACAAGTATGTTGCTCTTGATCAGTTAATGCAGTTTTGGTAAGCACTCCAACAGCATAGAGTGTTACACAAATTAACTGCGATGGACACTTAAACAAAACACTCCTTACAACCAGTATCTCAAAACTTTGACTTCGCAATACTATCCTACCTTGCATGTAGAACCACAGTTCATTTTGCAGGTTTTATAGTTGGGGTAAAGGGACAGAGGACTACAATTTTCAGCTTCACCTCTCAACAACTCATTATCCTTATGGTGAAAAAAGTCTTGAAATAACAGCCCTACCACAAGCAAACACACCAGGTCCTTTGCAGGAATCATCTCTGGCTGTCTTAGAATGATGTAAACCTCTATTTAGATTCTGAAAGACTTCTGGGTTTACCAGCTGCAGTAATTTAACAGATGAATAGGGATTTGAGGTAAGATTTTCAAGAGCGCCTGTGTGCCTTAATCTCCTAAATCCTGTTTTCAAGGAAATTTAGGCTGTAATGTCAGGATTTACCAAGATATTTAGGTGCCTGAAGATGCAGATAGGCACCAAGCTGGATTTTCAAGTGTGTCTAAGCAATTAAATGGGATGATGAGGGTGGGAGGACCAAGGCTCTGAGGTGGCACCGAGCATTCTCTCCCTCAGGTGCTTGGCTGACTAGTTCTTGCTCACATGCTCAGGGTCTAACTTATTGCCCTATGTGAGCTTTGGAAGGAATTTTTCTCCAGCTCAGATGGATCCCTTCCTTTGTAGCATGTATCTTTAGGTGTCTATATACCATGGAAAATCTGTTCCTTAGGGCCTAAACCTCTTTTGAAAATGGGACTAGGAGCCGAGTTAACACCAGCATTTTTGATAATGTTATTTTTGCTGCTGATTTGCTAATTTCTTGAGGTAACATTGTTTGGATGGAAAATTGTGGTTCCCCTGTCCCATGTGAGTCAGCAGATACTTGCATTATCGTAGTTTCTAGGAGCCTCTGTTATCAGTCAGGACCTGTGTTGTGTTAGATGTTGTACAAACACAGAACAAATGACAGTCCCTACTCCAAAGAGTTTAAAGTATGAGACAGGACCCAACAGGTGCAGACATATGGGGGAGTACAAGGAAACAATAACACACTATTGGTTAGCGTGGTAGGCTGTGGCAAGCATCGTTTAGAGTAAAATCCCATACAAAATGAGCAGACTGGAGGTATGGCCATTTAGATTTGGGGAAATATCCTGGAATTAGGTGGTAGTGACGGATATGGCATTCACTAAAACTCAGCAAGCTATTAAGAAGTACATGAAGCAGCCAGATTGTTTGAAGTTAAGCTAAGAGCTTCAGATATAAGTATGCCAGCATATTGTTGACTGCAAGACATTTTTATTAATACATAATAGCCATGTCGACAATAAAGTAGACCTGGAAAAATGGCATTTTAACTACATTTTCATGGCAGAGTAGTATTGCAAGCTTCCATGTCCTGAAAGATGCATAAAAAACTTAGGGAGCACTAAATTTCACTAGGAATGTAAAAGGTTAACCGGTCAGCTGATTAACGGGTAAGCATTAGCCTTACTGGTTAACCCACCTTACCTGTTAACCCCAGGCCAAGCGGCCAACTCCAATGGCCCTGCACCAGCTGGAGCAGCCCCAGCTGCACTGAGTGGCCAGAGTGGCACAGCCCCAGCTGCTTAATCAGTTAACAGTTTAAACGACATATTTTTAATTATGTAAACAGTTAACTTTTTAAATGCTGTTTACGTCCCTAAATCTCACTACTACTGAATTAGTCCTAATTTAAAACGGTGAGACGAAGGGGTGGGGGTGGAGGTGGAGATCTGGCTTCCTTAATAGGTCACATTCAGTGATACCCTCTTCTCCTAGGCTTTAACCAGTCCCATAAAATGTAGTACAAAAAAGCCACTAAAGTGTGGACACTAGAGCAAAAAGCATGTACAATGCTAGTGTTGCCAGTTTATTTGGTGTACTTTAAATTAAGCTCTGGTTTGTAGAGTCCTGTAATTATGTGAGAATCCTAGCTTTCATTTAAAAAGAAATAAGTTTCTAGCCCCCAGACTTGCAGAGAGAAGCTTAAAAATGTACACTCTAAAGGCTTAGAACCAAATAAGCAAATAAAAAGAATTGGAATATACATATTTTTAAAAATCTCATGATTTTTTTGAATGCATGACATTGGCAATACTATAATGCTTTGTGGGGCGGGGGGACCTAGCTGAGCACATGCGAAAACGTGTTGCAGAGTGTCATACATTCTGGACAGCTGTGGTCCAGATGTGTTGATGTTGGTGGCTACCAGTGCTCCAGGCCCAGAGCCTCTCTCAGGGTCAAGAAGAACTTGTCTGTTCTCTTCCTTCTGCTGTAGCTGACACTGTCCCAAATAGGATTATGCTGCTTGCACACAGCTGTGCAATGACCACATCAATTTTGGGGACTTGAACCACTACTGATACTAGTAGTACTGCTACTTAATTGCCCTGTACACTGTATACATAAATTTAGCCACATTAATGTGGCTGTGCATTTAACTTATCTCATTTGTGACAAAAATGACACAGGCAGTACAAAAAATAGGAAATGCTGAGTTAAGGTGACACATGCTTCACAAAATAAACACACAGCCTTAAATCTGTCTCCACAAGGTTGCCCAGAGAACGTCAGACCTTCCCCGTCCTAAAAAAAAAATCTACCACTTTCTCAGTCTGCCAGAAATCTAAATCAGGACTACGGTTCATTGAGTCCCAACAGTGCATTACATGGCATTTGTGTTGGCATTTGTATCGCTAACTAGTTGCTGTTGGTTTATAGAGATTACAATAGAAATATTGGTATCACTACTATTCTTCATCAGCATGGTTTCAGTTAGGACGTTTACAGCAAATATGATTTCATGAACTTTATACAGGTTACAAGTATTTCCAACTTCCAGTAATAATATGACAAGCACCTTGAAAGGAATGGATTTAAGTTTATGAGAGAGGTGTCACCTTAAGCAGGCAATATAACATTTAACTTTTTTTTAGTTGAATAAATGTCATAGGGTGAGAAACAATTCTTTGCTGCAACTAAACAGCATGTCCACTCAGCTTGACTACAGCTGTTTCTATACTGTATAGAGTAATGGCTGTGGCCCACTCTTCTCATCACTCCCATCTCCCTATGCAATGCAGGTTCAGGGATTGACTTTCCAGTAAAAGTCATAGTATAATGCTGTATCTGTCTGTGTTCCTTTACCACTCTGATCACCAAGGAATAGAAGCCTTTATTATCTGTCTGCTAAGACTGACAATAGGATAAAAGAATCTGGATATTTTTATAAGGCTTTTTAAAATATATATTTTGTGTGTTAGCTGACATGTATACATACTACTAGTGTGCATGTATGCTACATTTTCATGACGATGAGTCTGTAACATGTCTCCACTTAATTAATAAAATGACTAATTCAGTTCCAGTGATTGAAAATCAATTGATTTTGAGGTAAGAAAAAAATGATAACATATGTATGTTTTTGTTTAAACAGTATTTATTATACAAACCATGTAGTTCCTCTTTTGCATAAATGAGAGGAAAACAGAAACCTAACTAAATGTGTCTTTCAGGTATTGCCTCTGAATATGGAGTTAGAGGTTATCCAACAATTAAACTGTAAGTTGATCTTTCCTGTATTATATTTTTATATATCACTGTGATGGGTTCGGTCACAGAGACCCCCCCTTGGGACTGTTACCTGACGTGCTGAGATAACCTCTGAGCCCATTTTCCCTGCCAGTTTAGGACTCCAGAACTCTGCCTTGTTGAGCCAGACACACTAGCCTGCTACAACACAGACCCAGGTCTGGTCCAAGCCCCCAAAGCTGCAGACTTTAACCAAAAACTGCTCAGCAGGTCACCTATCTCCAGCACGCAGACACCCAGTCCCCAATGGGATCCAAACCCCAAATAAATCTGCTTTACTCTGTATAAAGCTTATCCAGGGTAAACTCATAAATTGTCTGTCCTCCATAACACTGATAGAGAGAGATGCACAGCTGTTTGACCCCCCCCTCCCCCCCGGTATTAATCACTTACTCTGGGTTTACTAATAAACAAAAGTGATTTTATTAAGTACAAAAAGTAGGATTTAAGTGGTTTCAAGTGACAACAGACAGAACAAAATAAGTCACCAAGCAAAATAAAGCAAAAACACGCAAGTCTAAGCCTAATATATTAAAAAACTGTTTACAGGTAAAATCTCACCCTCAGAGATGTTGCAATAAGCTTCTTTCACAGACTAGACTTCTTCCTAGTCTGGGGCCAATCCTTCTCTCTGGTACAGTCTTTGTTAGTTGCAGCAAACATCTTATGAGAGAACCCCGAGTTTCCACCTAACTGGAAGCCTCCTTTGTTCTTTTCCACCCCTTTTATAGCTTTGGCACATTTGGAAACTTTGGTTTCTCTGGGTCCCCACCTCTCCTTCTGAATGGAAAAGTACCAGATTTAAGATGGATCTCATTACCAGGTGACATGGTCACATGTCACTGTAAGATCTCATTCTTCATTACCCATGGGCTGGCCCATAGGCACACAGGAAGGCTTGCAAGTAAATAAACCATCCGCAACCAATTGTCCTAGTCAATGGGAGCCATCAAGACTCTAAATAGCTATTAATGGCCCACACTTTGCATAGTTACAATAAGACCTCAGAGTTACACTTCATATTTCTAGCTTCAGATACAAGAATGATACATGCATACAAATAGGATGAACACACTCAGTAGATTATAAGCTTTGTAATGATACCTTACAAGAGACCTTTTGCGTAAAGCATATTCCAGTTACATCATATTCACATTCATAAGAATGTTTCCATAAAACATTATGGACTGCAACGTCACAATGGAGTTTGAGGTTATCCATCAATTAAGCTAGAAGTTGACCTTTTCTGCATTATATTTTTATATATCAATCCTCACTATCGCTCACTTCCCTTTGTAAAAGGGGAACAAAAAATAAATGAATATACAGAAAAATCTTAACAGCTGATACCAGTAAGAAGCAGGAAGAGAAAATAACAATTCATTTTGGAGCCAGTTTTGAATCAGTTACTACTGAACTGGATAATATTTTTTAAAAATTCTTTTGTTTACATTTAAGGTTCTTTGTTATACTAAGCTTTTAAACAAGGTGGTGGTATAAGTAAGTTGAGTATTAATTAAGCTGAAACAAGCTTATATAATCATATAAACCATAGTCTCATAAAATATTGTTTAAAGGGACATAATGAATTTGAAATCCAGTAAATTTCAGTTGACAAATTAAATGTAGTTTCAGGTATGAAACCTATACCTGAGTCACCCTGCCAATATTTGACTTTCTGATTGCATTTCCCCATTTTTAATGACTTTTCCGTCCCATATTGCTATGTGTAGGGCCTACCAAATTCACAGCCGTGAAAAAGTGTCACAGACCATGAAATCTGGTCTCCCTCCTGTGAAATCTGGTCTTTTGTGTGCTTTTACCTTATACGATATAGATTTCACACGGCGTACCAGTTTTTCTCAAATTGGGGGTCCTGACCAAAAGGGAGTTTCATGGAGTTGCAAGGTTATTTTAGGGGGGGTCACAGTATTACCATCCTTCTACACTTTCTTCAGATCTGGGCAGCCGGAGATCAGGGGCTGCTGGCCGGACGCCCAGCTCTGAAGGCAGCGCCCCACCAGCAGCATCCATACCATGCCATCCTTACTTCTCTGCTGCTGCTAACAGCGGCTCTCCCTTCAGATCTGGGGTCCCAGCCAGCAGCCCCCGCTCTCCAGCTGCCCAGCTCTGAAGGCAGCACTGCCACCAGCAGCAGCGCAGAAGTAAGGGCAGCAGTACTGCAACCCCCCTACAATAACCTTGTGATCCCCCCACAACTCCTTTTTTGGGGGTCAGGACCCCTACAATTACAACACTGTAACATTTCAGATTTAAATAGCTGCAATCATGACATTTACGATTTTTAAAATTCTATGACTGTGAAATTGACCAAAATGGGCCATGAATTTGGTAGGGCCCGAGCTATGTGTGAAAAGACCCATACAGCCAGGGAAACTAACTGCTGTATAAGGTAAAAGGTGAAAGTGACTGTACACACAATGGTATAAAGTAAAAACAGGAAACTGTATTTTTCTCTCATTTTTCAGGTGCAGTTATTAAAAATGAAAATTTGGGAAATGGTCAGACTTAGAATTCTTTATTTCCCCATGTGTGTTGGAATTATCAAAGGATTTGGATTGTCTTTAGTTATGTTTCCAAAGGGCTGTGGCATTGAAATATTGTAGCTTGTTACAGGCTGCAGGTGAAAAACTTTGTTGTCATGAATATTCAGGCACTGAAAATTGGTCTTAAGGACACCAAAAAATAATGGAACTGACCCAGATGGGTTCTCTTTTAAAGGAAATCCTGTTGTTCTTCACTGTCATAAATCCTACGTGAATATTTTTTCTGATTTAATAAAAGCAAGTTAGATCCCACCCCATCAATTACATACAGTAACCTATTACAGTTTCTTGTCTGCCTCACTAGAGGGTGGATTAACTGAGTGTTCAGTTTAAGAAACCTTTGCAGATGATCACAACGGAATACCATTTTCATTTGCCCTTTCTGTTTTGCTTTTTTCAAATAGTAAAAGGGTATCCTAAGGCTTTTTTCGATAAGGAGTAATAAATGGAAATTTTTAGTATCTCTTTATAGGGTCTAAATGCTTAATTCTTTTTCATAGTCTGAGAGCAAATCTTCTCTAGTTTTTGTAGATCTAATATATTGTCATTAGAAAGCACATGATAGCTAGCATGTACAACAACTTATTTTCAGAAGACAAACAGTGTGGTGTGATTTTTTTCCTCCCTCATTCTGATTATATTGTACTGTTCCACTGAGCTACTTTTTCTATTTAAAGATTGATTCTTTTGTCTAATGTGTTGAAAAATAAAGTTGCTCAGCACTTACTAATAATTGAATATTAGAAATATGGGGAAGCTGTGTTTTTGCATATTCAGCTAACTGATTTATTTTAGTTATGAACAAAGATAATGAAACAATTCCTCAGAATTTTGTTTTTTTCCCCTCTAGCTTAAAAGGTGACTTGGCATACAACTATAGAGGACCTAGAACCAAAGATGATATAATTGAATTTGCTAACAGAGTAGCAGGGTAAGTATTCATAATCTTCTTTGAAGATACCAGTGATTTACATGGTTTTATTGAATTTGCCCCATTTGATTTTTTCAAAGGAGAGCCAAAAGCTGGGCTTCTTTGACAGAAATGTCCTTGACCTGTTAATGTAGTCTTTTATTCTTACAATACTTTGTAAGAATCAATGGCTTCCATCTTGTTCATTTATTATAGTTTGAATTAGATGTGAACTGTAAAGAAAATTGAGTTAAGCCGAGAAATAGATTAAATACCTCCACTAACCATGCTGGGAGGTGAGTTGGGGGTCATTCAGTAATGGAATACGTATTAAACAGTGAGTGGACTCCTCAGTAAAGACAGTGTCTTTGCAGTAAATACAGATGACTAATCAATATTTCTGCAAAACTTTTTTGTATTGCCTGCCTCCTACAGCCTGGTTAGTGGAGACATTTAGAACCTATTGGGTTTAAAATGATGATCAAGTTTACTTTCTAATTTACCTTTACAAGAGGTAACATAATCTTTACCCCATCTGATTTAGTAGTCATTTATTTCAGTGAGGGGAAGTCTGTGGCATAGTCTAGTGCAGTGTTTCTCATTTATGTGTTGTTTTTTAGGCTAATGCAAGTGTTTGTATAGGTCAGGTTTGGAGGACAGGAGAAAGTGTTAAGTGCAAGCCATCTAAGTTCCCGTCTATAATTTTGCATAGTGGAAGTCTTAATGTATACACAAAACATAAGAACGGCCATACTGGGTCAGACCAAAGGTCCATCTAGCCTAGTATCCTGTCTTCCAACAGTGGCCAATGCCAGGTGCCCCAGAGGGAATGAACAGAACAGGTAATCATCAAGTGATCCATCCCTTGTCACCCATTCCCGGCTTCTTCCAAACAGAGACTAGGTACACCATCCCTGAACATCCTGGCTAATAGTCATTGATGATGGATCTATCCTCCATGCATTTATCTTGTTCTTTTTTGAACCCTGTTATGGTCTTGGCCTTCACAACATCCTCTGGCAAGGAGTTCCACAGGTTGACTGTGCGTTATGTGAAGAAATACTTCCTTTTGTTTAAAATACAGTAACTCCTCACTTAACGTCATCCTGGTTAACGTTGTTTCGTTGTTACATTGCTGATCAATAGGAGAACATGCTTGTTTAAAGTTGCGCAGTGTTCCCTTATAACATTGTTTGGTAGCCGCCTGCTTTGTTCACTGCCTGCAGAAAGAGCAGCCTGTTGAAGCTAGCTATGCTGACCTGGTTGTAAGAGATTTTATAGAGTGATAATATGTAACGTGAGTGTTTCTGATGCAATTGCTCTTAAACTCCGTAGTTAAGTTTTTAATGTGTTTTGACATTGATTTCAGTAATGATGCAACATTAGCAATTAATTACTGAACAAGTTACATTAGGCAGAATGATGCAATGCCTGAAATAGATCATTGAGACTGCACTTGTTTTTTGGAACAGATACTGCTTAAGGTGTCAGAGAGAGATTTAAAAATGCCCCACCAAATATAGTTTGCAGATTTACCTCTGCAGTTGTGAAAAAGTATGTTTAGTTAAGATGTTAGTAGTCTTTCACTATATCTAATCATATGGGCTATATCAGTTAGAAGCTCATTTTCTGCCACTCAGTTTTATTTTTTAATTATAAAATTAAAATGAAATGTTTTTGAATAGTGAAAGAGTCACTGGTGTTAAACTGAGCTATTGAGAAAATTATTTTTTCTCAGCTGTCACACGTCAGCTCTCCTGGGATGATGCAGTATTTATTCTATTACTTACAGGAAGATGGAGAAATAGTGGCAAATTAATTCTGTGGGTTGTATAAATTATTAAGTAATGCACAGACTGTATTTTAAATTTAATACAGCATTAACAAGGATTTCACCATTTCCCCCCCCCCCCAAAAAAAAAAAAAAAAGTGGAGGGAGGGGGATTTTATATGAAGTTTTATTGGGACAATTAGCAATCTAGCAAAGGAAATAATTGTGGCTTCTTCTCTTCCCCCCCCCCCCCCCCCAAAAAAAAATTGCCACCATGGATTTCCCCCCATACGGATAATTGCAACATTGGCACACGAGCTCAGAATCTTCTAGAGAACAGTTTCTGCTTGGGACTATTCAAATTTCCTCTCTTCTCACTTACCTGGGGTTTAGAGCATAAAAATAGGGACATGGACCTAAACTGCTTTTCCGTACTTTCCAGTAGTCTATGAATACCGGTAATCTCCAAACTAGAATCACTTACAAAACCCATATTCCCGAGTTGCTATGCCTCTTTCAGAAATAAGGCTTGTATGTAGTGTCAGGATTACTGTTTAATTCTTCTTACTAAGAGTTGATATAATTGGTAAATTCCATTGCACTGTAGCACCAGTCACTATTTGCTGTTCTTAAATACAGAGTTCTAGTATTTTCAAGTTTAGACTTGTGGAATGGGCAGTCAGAATTGTACAATTTAGATGAGCGTATATGTTTTCTTTGAATTTTCAAAAAAACCCTGAATGTTTCTTTATATTTCCCTTTTCCCCAGGCCTCTTATCCGGCCACTTCCTAGCCAGCAAATGTTTGAACATGTGCACAAGAGGCATCGTGTACTTTTTTTGTATGTTGGTGGGGAATCTCCTTTAAAGGTTTGAAACTTCATTAAATTCATTTGTTTTTTGTTTTTGATCTTTATAGAGGCAGTCTAAAAGTGACTTATGCATATCTCTCCTAAAAAAGTGAGAAAGTAATTGTATATTTTAAAGAGATTATAGTTGTAGGTAAGAAGCTGAATAGTCTCTAATTTTAGAACTACTTTGATAATGGCATAATATATACACTTTTTTTATCTTAATGTATGTGTTTATAGACATTTACCAAACATGCTGGTAATCTCTAGATCTGAGTGCTGTCTCTCCTCTTGTAATCATTGTGTCGTGGGACTCCGAAGTCCTAATAATGTAAAACAGTATTTTAAAATTATACTTAACCTTAGATATGCCAAATGTTTTTGTTGTTTTGAGGCATAAGGCATGCATTCATAATAGTTAAACTTAAAAGTTATTTAATGTAGCATTTACTGTGTGGCACAGTTATACTGAAGAGAGAATTTTTTTGTTAATGTGATAGGTTTTATGATCTTTTTTTTTTTATACTGAAGTTCTATGCTACATCTTAGTAAGTTACACTTTAGTTAGGTGGAAAGAAACTCTGTGTATTTGGTCTTCATTTTAACAAAATCCTCAGAAAATTTCTAAAACTCTTACTGTTGTTGACTGTATCACTTCCATTATGTTGACATAATGTGCATATGTACCTTTATGGTGTGTGTCCTTTTTGCTCTAATACATATTAATAGGGATGTCAAGTGATTAAAACAAAATAATTGCACGATTAAAAAAAATTAATCACACGATTAAACGCATGTTAAACAGCAATAGAATACCATTTATTTAAATATTTTTGGATGTTTTCTACATTTTCTAATATATTGATTTCGACTGCAACACAGAATGCAAAGTGTACAATGCTCACTTTATATATTTATTACAAATATTTGCACTGTAAAAAACAAAATAAATAGAATTTTTCAGTTCACCTCATACAAGTACTATAGTGTAATCTCTTTGTAATGGAAGTTGAACTTAGAAATGTAGAATTATGTACAAAAAATAAATGCATTGAGAAATAAAACAATGTAAAACTTTAAAACCTACAAGTCCACTCAGTCCTACTTCAGCCAATCGCTCAGACAAACAAGTTTGGTTACAATTTTCAGGAGGTAATGCTGCCCACATCTTGTTTACAATGTCACCTAAAAGTGAAAACAGACGTTCACATGGCACTGTTGTAGCCGACATTGCAAGATATTTATGTGCCAGATGCCCTGAAGATTCATATGTGCCTTAATGCTTCAACCACCATTCCAGAAGGCATGTGTCCATGCTGATGACGGATTCCGTTCAATAACGATCCAAAGCAGAGCGAACTGACGCATGTTCATTTTCATCATCTGAGTCAAATGCTACCAGCAGAAGGTTGATTTTCTTTTCTGGTGGTTAGGGTTCTGTAGTTTCCTCATCGGGATGTTGCTCTTTTAAGACATCTGAAAGCATGCTTCACACCTCTCCCCTCTCAGATTTTGGAAGGCACTTCAGATTCTTAAACCTTGGGTCGAGTGCTATATCTATCCTTAGAAATCTCACATTGGTACCTTCTTTGCGTTTTGTGAAATCTGCAGTGAAAGTGTTCTTAAAACGAACATGTCTTGAGTCATCATCCGAGACTGCTATAACATGAAATATATGGCAGAATGTGGGTAAAACAGAACAGGAGACATACAGTTCTCCCCCAAGGAGTTCAGTCACAAATTTAATTAATGTATTTTTTTTTTTAACAAGCATCATCAGCATGGAAGCATGTCCTCTGGAATGGTGGCCAAAGTATGAAGGGGCATATGGACGTTTAGCATATCTGGCACATAAATACCTTGTGTCATAAATATAAAGGGAAGGGTAAACCCCTTTAAGATCCCTCCTGGCCAGAGGAAAACTCCTCTCACCTGTAAAGGGATAAGAAGCTAAAGGTAACCTCGCTGGCAACTGACCAAAATGACCAATGAGGAGACAAGATACTTTCAAAAGCTGGGAGGAGGGAGAGAAACAAAGGGGTCTCTGTCTATATGCTGCATTTGCTGGGGATAGAACAGGAATGGAGTCTTAGAACTTTTAGTAAGTAATCTAGCTAGGTATGCGTTAGATTATGATTTCTTTAAATGGCTGAGAAAAGAATTGTGCTGAATAGAATGACTATTTCTGTCTGTGTGTCTTTTTTGTAACTTAAGGTTTTGCCTAGAGGGATTCTCTATGTTTTGAATCTAATACCCTGTAAGGTACCTACGATCCTGATTTTACAGGGTGATTCCTTTACTCCTATTTATTTCTATTTCTATTAAAAGTCTTCTTGTAAGAAAATTGAATGCTTTTTCATTGTTCTCAGATCCAAGGGTTTGGGTCTGTGGTCACCTATGCCAATTGTTGAGGATTTTTACCAAACCTTTCCCAGGAAGTGGGGTGCAAGGGTTGGGAGGATTTTGGGGGGAAAGACGTGTCCAAACTACGTTTCCCAGTAAACCCAGTTAGAGTTTGGTGGTGGCAGTGGTTATTCCAAAGATAAAAGTAATTTGTACCTTGGGGAAGTTTTAACCTAAGCTGGTAAAAGTAAGCTTAGGAGGTTTTCATGCAGGACCCCACATCTGTACCCTAGAGTTCAGAGTGGGGGAGGAACCTTGACACCTTGCAATGCCAGCCTCAAAAGTGCCAGGCTGTTCTCACTTTCAGGTGACACTGTAAATAAGCCCTGGTCTACAGTAGGACTTTAGGTCGAATTTAGCAGCGTTAAATTGATGTAAACCTACACCCGTCCACACGATGAAGCCCTTTATTTCGACTTAAGGGGCTCTTAAAATCTGTTTCCGTACTCCACCCCTGACAAGTGGATTAGCGCTTAAATCGGCCTTGCCGGGTCGAATTTGGGGTACTGTGGACACATTTCGACGGTATTGGGCTCCGGGACCTATCCCAGAGTGCTCCATTGTGACCGCTCTGTACAGCACTCTCAACTCAGATGCACTGGCCAGGTAGACAGGAAAAGAACTGCGAACTTGTGAATCTCATTCCCTGTTTGGCCAGCGTGGCAAGCTGCAGGTGACCATGCAGAGCTCATCAGCAGAGGTGACCATGATGGAGTCCCAGAATCGCAAAAGGGCTCCAGCATGGACTGAATGGGAGGTACGCGATCTGATCGCTGTATGGGGAGAGGAATCCGTGCTATCAGAACTCCGTTCCAGTTTTCAAAATGCCAAAACCTTTGTCAAAATCTCCCAAAGCATGAAGGACAGAAGCCATAACAGGGATCCGAAGCAGTGCCGTGTGAAACTTAAGGACCTGAGGCACGCCTACCAGAAAACCAGATGGGCGAACGGCCGCTCCGGGTCAGAGCCCCAAACATGCCGCTTCTATGATGAGCTGCATGCCATTTTAGGGGGTTCAGCCACCACTACCCTAGCCGTGTTGTTTGACTCCTTCAATGGAGATAGAGGCAACACGGAAGCAGGTTTTGGGGATGAGGAAGATGAGGATGATGAGGTTGTAGATAGCTCACAGCAAGCAAGTGGAGAAACCGGTTTTCCCGACAGCCAGGAACTGTTTCTCACCCTGGACCTGGAGCCAGTACCCCCCAAATCCACCCAAGGCTGCCTCCTGGACCCGGCAGGCGGAGAAGGGACCTCCGGTGAGTGTACCTTTTAAAATACTATACATGGTTTAAAAGCAAGCATGTGAAAGGATTAATTTGCCCTGGCATTCGCGGCTCTCCTGGATGTACTCCCAAAGCCTTTGCAAAAGGTTTCTAGGGAGGGCAGCCTTATTCCGTCCACCGTGGTAGGACACTTTACCACTCCAGGCCAGTATCGCGTACTCGGGAATCATTGTACAACAAAGCATTGCAGTGTATGTTTGCTGGTGTTCAAACAACATCTGTTCTTTATCTCTCTGTGTTATCCTCAGGAGAGTGAGATATCATTCATGGTCTCCTGGTTGAAATAGGGTGCTTTTCTTCAGGGGACATTCAGAGGAGCCCGTTCCTGCTGAGCTGTTTGCCTGTGGCTGAACAGAAATGTTCCCTGCTGTTAGCCACAGGGAGGGGGGAGGGTTGAGGGGGTAGCCACGTGGTGGGGGGAGGCAAAATGCGACCTTGTAACGAAAGCACATGTGCTATGTATGTAATGTTAACAGCAAGGTTTACCCTGAAAGAGTGTAGCCACTGTTTTATAAAATGTGTCTTTTTAAATACCGCTGTCTCTTTTTTTTTTCTCCACCAGCTGCATGTGTTTCAATGATCACAGGATTTTCTCCTTCCCAGAGGCTAGTGAAGATTAGAAAGAAAAAAAAAACGCACTCGTGATGAAATGTTCTCTGAGCTCGTGCTGTCCTCCCACACTGACAGAGCACAGACAAATGCATGGAGGCAAATAATGTCAGAGTGGAGGAAAGCACAAAATGACTGGGAGGAGAGGTGGCGGGCTGAAGAGAGTAAGTGGCGGGCTGAAGACAGGGCTGAAGCTCAAATGTGGCGGCAGCGTGATGAGAGGATGCAGGATTCAATGCTGAGGCTGCTGGAGGATCAAACCAGTATGCTCCAGTGTATGGTTGAGCTGCAGCAAAGGTAGCTGGAGCACAGACTGCCACTACAGCCCCTGTGTAACCAATCGCCCTCCTCCCCAAGTTCCATAGCCTCCACACCCAGATGCCCAAGAACGCGGTGGGGGGGCCACTGGCCAACCAGCCACTCCGCCACAGAGGATTGCTCAAAAAAAAGAAGGCTGGCATTCAATAAATTTTAAAGTTGTAAACTTTAAAAGTGCTGTGTGGCATTTTCCTTCCCTCCTCACCACCCCTCCTGGGCTACCTTGGTAGTCATCCCCCTATTTGTGTGATGAATGAATAAAGAATGCATGAATGTGAAGCAACAATGACTTTATTGCCTCTGCAAGCAATGAGTAAAGGGAGGAGGGGAGGGTGGTTAGCTTGCAGGGAAGTAGAGTGAACCAAGGGGTGGGGGGTTTCATCAAGGAGAAACAAACAGAACTGTCATACCATAGCCTGGCCAGTCATGAAACTGGTTTTCAAAGCTTCTCTGATGCGTACTGCGCCCTCCTGTGCTCTTCTAGCCGCCCTGGTGTCTGGCTGCGCATAACCAGCAGCCAGGCGATTTGCCTCAACCTCCCACCCCGCCATAAACGTCTCCCCCTTATTCTCACAGATATTGTGGAGTACACAGCAAGCAGTAATAACAGTGGGAATATTGGTTTCGCTGAGGTCTAAGCAAGTGAGTAAACTGCGCCAGCGTGCCTTTAAACGTCCAAATGCACATTCTACCACCATTCTGCACTTGCTCAGCCTGTAGTTGAACAGCTCCTGACTACTGTCCAGGCTGCCTGTGTACGGCTTCATGAGCCATGGCATTAAGGGGTAGGCTGGGTCCCCAAGGATACATATAGGCATTTCAACATCCCCAACAGTTATTTTCTGGTCTGGGAATAAAGTCCCTTCCTGCAGCTTTTGAAACAGACCAGAGTTCCTGAAGATGCGAGCGTCATGTACCTTTCCCGGCCATCTCACGTTGATGTTGGTGAAACGTCCCTTGTGATCCACCAGAGCTTGCAGCACTATTGAAAAGTACCCCTTGCGGTTTATGTACTCGGCGGGTTGGTGCTCCGGTGCCAAGATAGGGATATGGGTTCCGTGTATGGCCCCACCACAGTTAGCGAATCCCATTGCAGCAAAGCCACCCACTATGACCTGCACATTTCCCAGGGTCACTACCCTTGATATCAGCAGATCTTTGATTGTGTGGGCTACTTGCATCACAGCACCCAACAGTAGATTTGCCCACTCCAAATTGATTCCCAACTGACCGGTAGCTGTCTGGCGTTGCAAGCTTCCTCAGGGCTATCACCACTCACTTGTCAACTGTGAGGGCTGCTCTCATCTTGGTATTCGTGCGCTTCAGGGCAGGGGAAAGCAAGTCACAAAGTTCCATGAAAGTGCCCTTACACATGCGAAAGTTTCGCAGCCACTGGGAATCGTCCCACCAGTCTGTGCTTGTTTCCCGAGCCCAGAATCGGCGTTCCACGGCATGAACATGCCCCATTAGCACCATGATGCATGCATTGGCAGGGCCCATGCTTTCAGAAAAATCTGTGTCCATGTCCTGATCACTCACGTGACCGCGCTGACGTCGCCTCCTCGCCCGGTATCGCTCTGCCAGGTTCTGGTGCTGCATATACTGCTGGATAATGCATGTGGTGTTTAATGTACTCCTAATTGCCAAAGTGAGCTGAGCGGCCTCCATGCTTGCCTTGGTATGGCGTCCACACAGAAAAAAGGCGCAGAACGATTGTCCCCCATTGCTCTGACAGAGGGAGGGGCGACTGACGACATGGCTTACAGGGTTGGCTTCAGGGAGCTAAAATCAACAAAGGGGGTGGCTTTATAAGGAGTATTTCAGGCAGGACTTCACGGAGGGTTCCAATAAAAAATGGTGCACCTAAGTTATTGTTCTTATTGGAACAAGGAGGTTAGTCTGGCCTCTGATTGATACATGGCTAGATTTACCTCGATGCACCTTCTCTGTGAGTGACTGCATTGTGACCTAGAGGAATGAGTCACCCATATGGGGGGGAGAAAATGCGTACAAAACAAATCTGGTCTATTTCTTGTTTTGATCCACTCCATCTATCTTTTATATCTTTGGGTGGCAGCAGACGGTGTAGAAGGACTGCCTGCCATCCATATCTCATGGCTGCCTGGCAGAAGATGATGCAATAGGACTGCTAGCAATCCGTATTGCCTGCCTGCTCACCATAAGACGGTTCAATAGGACTGACTGCAGGACTAAAGAGAATGACCTGGTCAAGTCACTCCAAATTTAGTCCTTGCGCCCATGTCTGCCCAGGCGCTCCTGGCCGACGTGGCCCGGAGCACCTCGGACATGACGACGACGACTACCAGTCGTACTGTACCGTCTGCTGCCACAAGGCAAGGGGTTGATGCTGCTGTGTAGCAATGCAGTACCACGTCTGCCAGCACCCAGGAGACATAGGGTGACGGTTACCTGAGCGGGCTCCATGCTTGCCGTGGTATGGCGTCTGCACAGGTAACTCGGGGAAAAAAGGCGCGAAACGATTGTCTGCCCTTGCTTTCACGGAGGGAGGGAGGGAACGGGGGCCTGACGATATGTACCCAGAACCACCCGCGACAATGTTTTTTGCCCCATCAGGCATTGGGATCTCAACCTAGAATTCCAATGGGCAGCGGAGACTGCGGGAACTGTGGGATAGCTACCCACAGTGCAACACTCTGGAAGTCGATACTTGCCTCGATACTGTGGAAGCACTCCGCCGAGTTAATGCACTTTATGCGCTTAGAGCATTTTCTGTGGGGACACACACACTCGAATATATAAAACCGATTTCTAAAAAAATGACTTCTATAAATTCGACCTAATTCCGTAGTGTAGACATACCGTAAGAGGCAGTCAACAGTATCTCCTGTAAATTTAAACAAATTTGTTTGTCTTAGTGATTGGCTGAATAGGAAGTAGGACTGAGTGGACTTGTAGGCTCTGGAATTTTACATTGTTTTGTTTTTGAGTGCGGTTATGTAACAAAAAAAATCTGTGTTTGTAAGTTACACTTTCACGATAAAGAGATTGCACTCAGTACTTGTATGAGGTGAATTGAAAAATTCTATTTCTTTTGTTTATCATTTTTACAATGCAAATATTTGTAATAAAAATAATATAAAGTGAGAAGTGCACTCTTTGTATTCTGTGTTGTAATAGAAAACAATATATTTGAAAATGTAGAAAAACATCCACAAATATTTAATAAATTTCATTTGGTATTCTATTGTTTAACAGTGTGATTAATCACAATTAATTTTTTTAATCACCGTTAATTTTTTGAGTTAATCGCATGAATTAACTGTGATTAATCAACAGCCCTACTTATTAGTAGACATTATTTGTGGTTTAAGATCCATGTACTGCCAAAATAAAATGAACATAATACAGAAAATTCAAATGGTCTTTGTCTAAGAATACTCCTGTAATACAACTCCAAATAAACCAGTTAGATTTGTTGAGGTCTGTCAAGTTTTTTTTCTTAGTTTGAATGGAACAATGCGGGCACTGAACCATGGTTCAGAACAGTATTACTTGCCTAGCTTTTGTTCTACACCCAGTGTACTACAACTTGTTCTACACCTTGTAACTTATAAAAGGGATGCCCCTAACATAGCTACATCATTTTACACTGGCATGTTTAGCCATGTAGTGCAGATGAGCCGCAGGTAAGCTTTCTATTCTAATTTTGTTACATTATCTTTTTATATTTTACTTTTAAAAAAGTAGAAGAAAATGTTTGTATTTTGATAGACTTTTTTCTGTTAATGTTTGTACCAAGATTTGAGAAATTTTTAAAAAATGTCTCTTGTTTGTTTATATTTTTGCAGGAGAAATACATAGAAGTTGCTTCAGAACTAATTGTCTATACATACTTTTTTTCTGCCTCAGAAGAGGTGCTACCTGAGGTAAATTCACTTTATCAGATACTTCAACCTCTACTTCCTCAAGTTGTATTTAGCACAACCGTAGCCTTTTAATGCTTGCTGTTTCTGACCTCAAACACTACAGAAAACTGGTCAGTAATAGTAATCACTCTAATGAATAACTATTTTTAAATAAAGAATCTCATAGAGAAAACATGGATTTGGAACTGAGTTACAGTTACGGAATACTCTGTTACCTTCTAAATACGTGTTAGCATATTGATCACCAGCAATATTAAAACCTCTGTCTTTAAAAGAGGGAAAAATCCTATCAAATTATTCATTATAATAGCTTGAAATACAGTTGAAAAGTTTTACAAATTTTTTTTTGTTCTTGCAGTATTTGTTAGGTTGATCAGGCGGTCCTGTTTTGCACTGACCACGTGACTTTTTCAGAGAAGGCATTGATGTGCAATAGGAACTTAAATAGAATAAGTAGGATTGCAGAACACAGTTTATATAATCTTAGTTTCAGTATCATCTAATTTATCAAAACTGATTTTGGACCCAAAACTGAGTTATTCCAGACTTTACATATAACCATTTCTGAAATACATTTTTTTTAAGAGCTGTATTTTTATGCTAGTAACTAATGATTTTTTGAAAACAAAATCAGAATTGCCATTCACTGAATCCTTAATGAGGACTAGTAGCTTTTGACAAAATTGAAGAAATAAATTCAGAACCTTAGAATATAGTATGCTGAAAATTCTGTGCATGCTTTCTTCTCTAGTGGGAATAGATAGCAGATTTTGGGGAGGAAAAATGGTCCCTGGAATGGAAAGGACAGGAGGAACTCTCACCCCAAACTCCAGCCCAGAAATGGGTTCCCAAGATGCTTCAAAGTACCACCCAAGAAACAGGTGCAAAAGCCCAATTCTCATACTCAGTTGTCCCTCATTAACTGAGCTGTCTGAGTCCCAGTGACAAACCCCGAGGAAGCCAAACTGTACTAATCAGGTTTTCCAAGGAGGAGTTGAGACGCGGGAAGTCTCGTGCATTTGTAGCTGGTAAAGGGCAGTTTTATGTGCTTGATACTAGGGAATGGGATTTGAATGTTATACTCCTTTACTAGCATAAAGAAGTGTATAAAAAACATATGGTGTGGTTTTGTCAAGGGGTTATGTCTGCAATGCTAAATGACTTGAGATTGCATGACTTGAAAAATCGTGTATCTTTAATAAAAGCATTATTTTTTATAAAACAGCTGTTTAAAACCTACTGAGCCTATTGCTACAATAAAATTGGTTGTAAATACAAAATGCTAGAAAAACCACATTACGTCATTATTTTCCTGACGTTATAAGGCAAGTGTTGTCTAGAGACTGGAGTCCGGAGACTGTGGCTGTATTATCGGCTGTTCCACTGACTCACTGTAACAACTTTGATAAGTCACTTGTCCAAGATTTTCAAAAAATGTTCTTTAAAGTTAGGTTTCTAAATCTATATTTATTTACCTATGGCTTGATTTTTGGAGGTGCTGAGTATTTGCAGTTTTTATCAGCCTCGGTGGAATTTATTGGTGGATGGCACTTCTGAAAATTAGGTTACTTGGTTAAGAGCCTAACCTTCTTTTGCTGTAGTTGTATGTACTTTACAATATAGTCACAAGTGCTTTGAGGTTTAACATTTGTAAAGCCAAGCCCTATGAGATATTTTGATCACAAGTATACTGCAGAAGAGCCAAGTAGGTATAGTTTTTTTTTTAAATATCCTACGGGGAAATAAGCAAATTGTAAAACAGGTGGGTGTAAATTTTATGTAATTCTCACTTAAGGTGCTCTCACAAACTTTAACCCTGCCCATTTGCACTAATTCATTATTGTATGCTATTTTATTTCACAACTCCCACCTCTGCTCTAGAGCAGAGTAGTGAAGGTAGAATTAAAGCTGCTAGCTCCGATTTATGAGTCTGATGTAATTTACGCCAGGGACCAAACCAGCCCCCAGACAGCCTTAGTCACCTCTGCCGTTTGTGGAGCTTCCTGGGGCACAGAGAATGGGGCCAAGAAGTGTAAAACAAGCCAAAAAAGAACTGGGTTTCTAACTTTCTCAGGTATGATAGAAGGATGTCATCATTTTTATTTTGAAAATGTTTTTTGTTTTAAAATTGCCACCTGTTTGTGGGAGAGACAGAGATTTAAAATACTTGCCTTGTTAAAAATCCACAACTTTGTCAAACTAACCTCATCCTCCTAAAACATTTTTTAATAGGATGTACAGAAACCTTTTGTTTTCTCTTCACTGAATGCATCAGCATTTGAGTAAGAAATATAGTTCCTAGTGCTGGAGAAAGTACTAATATAAATTAGGAAATTGGAAATTTAAACAAAAATGTAATTTCCACATAAAATTAGATTTTTTTTTTAAAAGTTGGAATGGAAAAAAGATACAATTGTTAAAAGGGGAAGCAAGGGAGTATGTTTCCAAGCTTCTATGTTATAAACAAGGCTGAGAGATAATATGTAAGTGTCCTGTTTAATTATTTGAGGGGTTTTTTACTTCAGACTGGTGAGTTTAAGGTTTGTGCAGTTAAAATGCCTGTCTTAATCATCCATAGGATGATTAAAAGTCATCTCTCACTCTTTTAGTCTGTGACACTGCCTGAATTGCCTGCTGTTGTGGTCTTCAAAGATGGAACTTACTTTGTATATGATGGTAAGTACAAGTGTGTACTGTTCACCTACAGGCAAAATACTCAAAGTATATTTGAGGGAAATCAAAACACAGGCATTCTTTTTGAAGGAGAAATTTTAAAAAAGATTGACCAGGTTTATATTGGATAATCTTTTCTTTGTGAAGGAGAGAAAGGGAGAATTGCTGTTTATATCTCTATTATGTAAGTCTGATTTTTTTAACGGAACAAATAAAGCACTGGAGTGAGAATTTTGTTCAGCTGCGATAAATGTAGTAAAGATAGAAGCAACTGAAATTTGACTTTGCATTTTTTGCTCGAATGTACTCTTGCATGTTACAGGTAGAGTACTGGCACGCCAAATGAATCCAATGGTTCCAGTTACTCACTACCCAAGATTGATAGTAGAGCTGAGGGGTTGAATGATGGAAAGCCGCCAAATGCTAAATAACTCCTCTCCACATGGTGGTATGCCCTATTATAGGACCTGAGCACCATATTGAATATTCATGCTATTGCTCATTCCTCCATGCCCAAATTTATTCTTTTCACTCACATAATACTGAGATGTACTTATCCTGAGGTCAACCTATATTAATAGTTATTAATACCACTTTAACTCATTATCATACCCATCACTTCTTGCTTAAGCCAGTTTACGGTTATTGTTTCCATGTTTCTGCAGGTATTTACCGTTAAGCTCCAGCTTCTACCATTGAGTAAGCTAGACTGAGTTCCCCAAACTCTGAGGATAACTGTTAGAACATCTATCTATGCCAAAGCTTACAGGCCTACTGAAACACGCTTATGCTAACTTCTGCTAACTTGCTTAAGCTAATGTCTTACAGGATACAGGTCTGCAGGTTTCTTGTGTTACAGCTGAATATAATGAAGGCTAAGCTAGCAAGCCAGTCCTATGGGCTACAGTATCTAGCACATCTGAGTCTGTTAGGAGTGCTTCCATGTTCTGACTGAGTCCAGAGGCAGATCCTTGTCACCGGTACCTAAGAAGAAACAACTTAAGTCTTCTGAAGCCTCGGTACTGGGGCCTTCAAAGTCTACAGTGAAGGCACCAAGCAGAGGCAAGAACTTGGTGGCATGCTCAAAGAAGTTCACCCAGGCACAGTCCATAAGCCAAGAGGGACTGCTGAATCTGGAGCCCATGAAGGCTAATTCCCAAAAGACTGGTGCACCTTTTGTATCACAGACTCAGGAGCCCTTTCCAGTGCCATCTATACCCGAAGCTTTTGAGGAAGCCAGAGAGTTGGTTAACTATTGGTGCTGGTTTCCCCTGCTGTTCAGAAATCTCTCATAGTACCGGGATTGGAAGAGCACGCTCCCACAGAACAGCCCCAGAACATTGTTCAGTACCGATGACTTCTACAGTTGTCTCCTTTCAGTAGGGTTCAGCAGTGATCCCGCAGAACCCTGATCTCCAAATTCAAAACAGGTCTCTCTGGAACTGAAGGAGTCACCGTGGTCTGAGGAAGTGGACTCCTCATCAGACTCCAAGGTCAGATCATTCATGTCTTTACCTGAGCATGCCCAGCAGCCCAGTGGGGTTCCTGCCCACTGTAGTGTCTGCCACAAGACTTAGCACTCTAAGGATTAATGGCCTGCACATAGCGGGGTGCTATGTCACCCAGTGAGGCAGTAGTGACTGAATCTACTTCTCTCCCCCCGATGGTTTCAGTGCTCATCAAGACTTATTGAGAAGGTTGGTTGCAGCTCTGTATAGCCATCTACAAGAGGTGCCAGAAAGGTCACACAGGCTTGTGGACATTTTAGCCTTTGCAAGGCCCTCCAGAGTAGCTTTCCCAGTTAATGAGGCTATCCTGGAACCTGTCAAAATTTTATGGCAACCCCCATCTTCCTTGCCTCCCACTGCTAAAAGGGTGGAGAGAAGATATTCTGTCTCTTCACAAGGATTTGAGCTTTCTTATAACCACCATCATCCAAGATCCCTGGTAGTCACTGCTGCTAATAAAAGGGAGAGACTAGGACACCAGGCCTGTACCCCAAAAGGAAAAAAGGTAGTCCTATTCAGCAGGAAGCTATATTCCACAGGTTTACAGCTTAGGATCGTGACCACTCTAGATCTAAAGGTGCATCCTCTCACTGTGGTTCAAAATTGCCTCAAACTTGGTGCAGCATGCCAGGCTACACCTCAGAGAACTACAGGATTGGCTAGCCTCGGTGTACTCACTGACCCATCATCATGTTGACATGGTAGTTCTAATACCTGCTCAGGTCTTGTCCTCTCTGACTGGTGGGTAGAAACTGCAAATGTTTGCAAGAGTGTTCTTTTTGCTCTATGACAGGAGTCGCTCACTCTGGTCCCAGATGCATCAGGTCTAAATTGGGGAGCTCATTTAGGTCCCTTTCAGACTCTCAGAGCCTTTGGTCTTTTCAGGATATAAGTCTCCATATAAATATCAGGGAACTTTGGGCCATGCGTTTATTTTGCTTGGCGTTCCTTAAGAATATTAAATGGCGGAATTTTTTGAAACTCACAGACAACACAGCAGCCATCTTCTGTGTAAACAAGTGTGGTGGAGTCGGAGGAAGGGCGTTCTGAAAACTTATGGCAGTAGGCGATTTTCCTTTGGAATTTCTGCATCGCCAGTTCTATCAGCCTGAGAGCTGCTTACTTTCCAGGAGTTCAAAACACACGGACAGACCACATGAGCAGGTCATTCTCAGGTCGCCACAAGTCATCTCTTCACCTAGATATGTCCCTGTCCATTTTCTAGTGGTGGGACACTCCCCAAATTGGACCTGTTTGCAACAAGACCAAACAAAAAATGTCATTTTTTGTTCCTGAGTGGTCACAGCCTGGGTTCACTGACAGTTGCTTTCCTCCTATCCTGTTCAAAATGCCTGCTGTATGCTTTCCTTCAGGTTCTGTTCCTGTCCAAAGTCAAGTACGATTCAGCTCACCTTTTTCTAACAGCCTCAGTGTGGCCCTGATTTTGAGTCTATTAGCCCTGTCCGTCAGACATATGCTGCCTCTCCTGAAATATGTGGATGTGATCTCTCAGGACCACGGCCGCCTCCTTCATCCCAATCTTCGGGCCCTCCACTTGACAGGTTGAATGTTTCATAGCTGTCAAACTCTGAATGAATTTGCTCTAACGAGGTGCAGGAAGTTCTGCTAAATAGTAGGAAGCCTTCAACTAGGTCTACTTTTTTGCTAAATGGAAGAGATTTTTCCATTTGGTCCATACACAGAAGTATTCCCCTCAGCTCAAGCACCAATTTGCCATGTTTTGGGCTATCCTATGTTTCTGAGTAAGAGTCCATTTGGCGGCTATCTCAGCTTTCCATCTTCCCATGGATAACCAATGAGTTTTTTCAAATCCCATGTCCATCAGATTTCTAAAGGGTTTGCTCAGATTATACTCACAGGTTCACAAGTTGGTTCCACAGTGGAGTTTAGATTTAGTGCTTGCAAAGTTGGTGGATCTCTCCTTTGAACCGCTAGCGATTTGTTTGCTGGTACACCTGTCTATGAAGGTGGCTGTCTTGGTTGCTGTAACCCCAGCCAGAAGACTAGGGGAGCTGTGAGCCTTAGGATCAGAGCCTCCCTGTACAGTTGTTTTTTTAGGGACAAGGTTTTCCTTCGCCGTCACCCAAAATTCAATGACATAGGTTCCAATCTTCACATTAATCAAACAATTTATCAGCTTTCTTTCCAAAGCCACATTCCAGTAAAGGGGAAGAGAAGCTCCACACTACAGATGTTGGAGCTTTGGCTTTTTAGTTGGATCTCTATTTGTTGATGCTACTGATTGGCTAATATTGCACTGCCAGGTAAAGCAGTTGGTCACTCAAACAGGTCACAGGTAATTTCTGCAGCCTTTCTGGCTCATGTACCCATACTGGACATTTGTAGGGTGGCAGCCTGGTCATCAGACTATATGTTTCTGTTTCACAAGGCCGTCTCTTGTTAATCTAGAAATGATTCCAGACTTCAATGAGTGGTCCTACAGTCTCTGTTCAGTTAGAGTCACCTCCAGTTTGAACTGCTTGTGAGTCAACTACAATGGAATGGACATGTGCAATCCCTCAAAGAAAAAAAAAAATAGTTATTTTCCTTTCCATAACTGTTGTTCTTTTAGATATGTTGCACTTGTCCATCCATGACCCACCCTCCTTCCCCTCACTGAATCTTTCTGGTAGGAAGGAACTGAGGGGGTAGGGGACAGGGGCAGCATGGCTGCGTGTAGTAGTGCAAGTCACCGAAGGGCACTTGCGCTGCCCCAGCGAGTACTGCTGAGGGAAAAATCTCCAACAGCTGTGCCTGAGTTGTGCACACGCCTGAAGTGGAGTGGACAAGTGCAACACATCTGGAAATACAACAGTCACGGAAAGGTAGGTACTGTAACTGTTGTTATTCCTAGGCAGTCTGAAACAGCAAAGATTTGTTTGTTAAAATCCTTGTACTGAAATCACTGTACATATGGGGACATCAGTTTATCTCTTTTGAAACCTCAGTAGTTTACTATCAGCAAGGCTAAAATTTGGCTGACTATATGTTGTCCCTTTTGAGGTTTAAATGTAGTTGACCTCATGTAAAATGTAATGTGCTTTGTATGATCTGAGTTCAGAAATTTAATTTAAAACTTTTTTTGTTCCCAAAAAATGTGCAGTGCATCAGGCTTAAAACTTTTACAGAAGTTGATTAGAAATCTACATAAGTAGAGTAGTAGTTTGTCATGGGGTGGTGTGTATAGATGGTTTAGGAAGTATCTGGACAGCATTACTGCTCCTGCTAGTGTAGTTGTAGAGGATGAGACTAGAAATCAACACAGAAGATATAATAGCTATCTCCCACGCACCTTCCTGCCCTCCTGCTTCTGCTGGGTGAAATAGGCAGTCATGGGGATACCAGTTGTAATACAAAAAACTATAAGCTGTGGTAGCTAGAAAGGATGTTTTCAGGTGTTGAACGCCACGCAATTTTATCCCCCAAATTACTAAAACTTGAGGTCTGGAGAAACGAGAAATGTTAGGCCAGATATTAATAATTGTCTCAATGCCAGTTCAGGGACATGACTCATACTATTTTAGATATTTACCAGGCTGTAAGGCACATCACAATTAAAGACAAGCACAGACTGTGACTGTTTTATTACGAAAGAAAGAGAAAGAAAGGAAGACAATAATTGAACAAAATGAAACAAAAACAGAGCACAAGCAATAAACAATGGTTACTTCCACTACAGACTCTTCTGTACGTCTCTCTGTGGAGATCTTTCAACAGAGATTACGCCTCAAGAGAAGATCTGCTCTGGTGGGCACAATCTTCTCTAGTTGAGATAAGAGCAAAGTACATTATTCCCAAAATCAGCAGAGTCCTGTATTAGTTGATCATGAATAAATAAAACATATTATAGAAACTTTGTTTGAAAGGTTGGCGAATCTTATTTGGTTTAGCATGGATAATCTACACAGTTTATAAATGGGCAAATGTAAGTGATTTTAACTAAATTCTGTGAAACTGAAGGTTTTAATTCTTACTGAAAAGAAGCCTTTAAGGACCAGTCTTGAGGCAGGCAAATTAAATATTAAGAATTTTACCTTCAAATTAAATCCCACTATTCATTTGTTTACCAAGATTAGCACGTCTCCTCCCCAGGAGTACATAGTCTAAATAATCTGGTTTTTAACAGGAGAAGCTGGGAATACCTTAAATTACAGTAGCACTTCAGTATTCCATTAAAATTAACAAGAGATATTAAATATTAAATCTACTCTCTAGACAGTGCTTTTGCAGACTTCCTCTTGCAAGTGATGATGAAGTTTCAGTAATGGAGTCATGGTGAAGAAGTGCTGGGTTTGGAAGGTGGTGTTGATTCAATGTAGTGGCTTTCTTTCTTTCTGTCTTGTTGCTGCTGTTTGCTTGCTTATCGAGGGGTTGTCTTGAAGATGTGATGAGATGAACAGGGTGTGCCAAGATGAGTGCTGTGAGTTTAAGTGTGTGTAAGAGTGTGTGACTTTATAATGGTTCAAGAGCGGTATAAGTGTAAATGTAATATGATTAGGGATTAAAAAATAAAAACCTGTAACCTGAGGAGTGTATGTCTCAATTGAGAGGAATTTATACTTTTTCCACAGTCTCACTGAAGGAGAAAGGCACATATTTCAAGAGGTCCAGTAAATTAATATACCAGCTTCTGTCACCTTTCATTTGTTTGTCCGCTTCAGGGGATAGTCTTGGTGGCTTATGAATCTTCAGCTTATGAATATGCGATCTCCTAATGCATTGTAATTGTAATTCAGTCAACTTCAGGATTATATTGCCTTTGTCTTTTTGGTGGGAATTTCTTAGAACATCTTTGAAGATAAAGTTTTTACTCTGTTCAGTTTATTTTCTGAGAGATCCCTTTGGTTCTTTTAGGGTGTAATATGAGTTGAAATTCAAGTGAGCCCAAATGCTCCTATGTCCTATAAAAAGATCTTTCAGCTCTTAAAATGGTCTGTTTAAACGTAAGTGATTCTTAAAGAGCGTCTTTGAACTTAACTTGTCATCAGAGAATGTGTTGTCTCTTCTTACCAATCTAATCTTGGTGGGGAGGATTTTTATCTCTTCTTGAGTTTGGTAAAGAAGTTGCTTAAAAGTTGACAGATAACTAGTTAATTCTCCAATTCATATAAGTATTTCATATTCACATGGCTTCTTACATTATTATTCAGTTATAACATCAAACATAAAGTATATTAATATTCAGATACTGATATCAGGGTGTTATTATATGAAGACTTGCATTTGAAGTAGAACCCCAGGGTTACAAACACTTCAGGAATGGAGGTTGTTCATAACTCTGAAATGTTTGTAACTGAGAACAAACGTTATGGTTGTTCTTTCAAAAATTTACAACTGAACATTGACTTAATACTTAATATAGCTTTGAAACTTTACTGTGCAGAAGAAAATGCTGATTTTAACCATCTTAATTTAAATGAAACAAGTACAGAAATGGTTTCCTTACCTTGTCAAATATTTTTTTCAACTTTCCCTTTGTTTTTTTAGTAGTTTACATTTAACATAGTACTGTACTGTACAGTATTTGCTTTTTCCTTTTGCTTTTCCTTTTCCTTTTGCTTTTGCTTTTGCTTTGCTGCTTGATTGTATACCTCCAGTTCCAAATCAGGTGTATGGTTGACTGGTAAGTTTGTAACTCTCATATTCATAACTCTGAGGTTCTACTGTAGGTACAAAATATTCACAGATATACATCTCAGAAGAAGCTTTTGCCATCTGAAGCATTTGAGGGAAAACAAAGGCTTTCATTTGCGTGTTGAAGGAACCAATATATTCTGCAAAATACTTCCCATCAATAAATGTTTTCCTTAACTTTTGAAGAATGAAGACTTCAGGATGTTTATTAAATAAATCAGTTTCAACAAGGATATTTCTAAAATTCTTTGTGTGGATTTAAACTAAAGATTTTCTTTGCAAAGGCGGGGGGGGGGAGTGATTTAGGTTATGGCTCTGAAAACACATCCTAAGGATCTCTCCTCTTTTGAATATCCTAAATAAAGAACATCCCCACATTCTTTTACACAGCCAGTCTCTCTCTAAAACATAAACATCTTAAAAAGTTTATTTTCTTGAGATAAGTCATGTCTGTACTACATTGATGTCTTGCACAAGGGGGAGGTGTTCTGTTCTGTGAGATGACACGGTTTCTAGATTTACCACTTTCCATTTGTATATGTTTGTAATTAAAGACTCCTATCAAATATTCTATCAAAGAACAAGTTGGAATAACTTGCTCAAATGCCTCAAATTTTTGTGTATGCCCTGAAATTAAAATGTACACATCAAACTGCCTTTGTAGCAGTGTCAGGCTGGCCATATCTCCCTTGTTTACTATGTTTTTAAAGATGTCACTGGTTCACAAAAAGAGATTTCTTAGGAGTTTCCTTAATGAGCTTGAAATTTTCATTTAATTAAATAAGTAATCAAAAGAAAGTATGTGAGCTATCATATTCCACTAGTATTGTATATGTAAAAATAATTTTATCTTTGTAAATTCAGTAAAATCAAATGAGAGTTTGTAATAACCTATAATTAGAAGAATAAATTATAATACTATTTTTATCAGTATTAACATCTTTCTGTACATGTTAAATGGTGTTAAACAGTAACTTGGAATGTCTTTCTGTAAAATACATTAGTCTCCCTGCTCCCCCACCGTGGCCAGACTGACCTCTATAACTTATTGTGACAATCCATTAGACTTAATAACATATTCTACAAGTGTGTGTGGGGAGGGGAGAGAAGGGGAGGGCAAGGTGTGAAAAGTAGTTTTCAGCTGTGAGACCAACTTGTGTTGCAAAACAACTGGTATGGTAACCTTTCTTTAATAAATCAAAAAAATATACAGGAAAGAGAACAGATTTACACTTTTTAGCTATATTTTTAAAAAACATTTATTTTTGTAAACATTGGAAAAAAGTTAGAAATTTCACATTGCAAAATAATGTCAGTTGTTTACATGAAAACAATAAGGAGGAGCAGAAGTGCTATAAAATGGTAAGTGTTTTATAATATACATGAGATAACTTGAGGGTGTCTGCACACAGATTTTATTCAGAATTCTTTAGGCTTTTATTCAAGAGACATTGCCACTGCTAGTTTCCATGAATGCTTCCTCCAGATTGTTCTAGATAAAGTTGTTGCTATCCTCAATGGTATTAACTATGGTTGTCTGAATTTTGGAAAGGGTATATGATAACTAGTTCAAATCCCAACTCCCAAAAATTTATTTGCACACTTACCCCATTTCCAGTACCTTATGTTTTTATTTCACTACTTTTCTTACCACTGTGCCAGTGTATTTTATCACTTCTTGATAGGTGCATGGCTTAGTTTGGTGGTAATCATGGTTTGTTTCATAGACTTGTTTCCAGTGGTGGAAGAACATAATGCCTCTGATATTTGCAGGATAATTCTTTTGATTAAATGAGCAGATGTCCATATATCCACTCTAGTCACTCTCTTGATTAAAAACATATAAGACAGCAGTCTTCTATCAGTGACTGTGGTCTCCCTTTGTTGGATACCACAAGGAAGACTAAAGTGAATCTTCTTTAAAGTGTCTATTAATTGTTGATCTTCACTCTTGAGCTGTATTTCCATTATTTGACTCGGTAGCTTGAATTTAATAGTTATATCCATGCTTTTTCTGCAATGCATTTGAGAAGTTAGCCTAAAAAAAGCATAAATTTATGAATAAAACTAGTGGATTGTCTGACATTTCTGCGTCTACTTAACCTGACATTTTTCCTAATAGTGCTCGGGTTTATTTAAATCAAACAAACAAAACTCAGAAAACATTTTTCCTTATTCAGCTGTTTAAAATGTGTTAATTGTTTTTAGCAGATGGTCTTGACAACAGTCAACTTTAATTTTGAAATTTTAAATGGAAAAATATTACCTACATTTTTTAAAGTTAGATACCTAGACTGACACATAGAAAGGAGCACACTTTTTTTTTTATTTTAATCAGAAATAAAAAACATAAAATTATATCTTTTTTTTATTTCACTATCTCATACTGGCAAAGTATAAATTTAAATAGTCACTTACCATAAGATTAATAGTAGACTGGAATGAGACATTTTTGATGAGGATAATGAAAATCTTTTGCTTGCCTTAATGCTTTGCCTCTTTGTGCTTTCCTCCAAAATGAAATAGTCTGTTTACGTGTGCTTGTTTTATTGGCTTAGACTTGGAGGTCGGATTTCCCCAAAAGCCTGTTTGAGAATGGAAACCAAAACTGAAACTTTACAAGTTTAAACTGCACTGGGTTAATCTTATCAATTGCTATAGAAATATAGAAATATAGCAGTATATAGAAATATATAGAAATATAGCAGTGAAGTATTTTCAAAATCAACTATTGATTTGTATCAAAAGAATGTTTAGACAAAACTGTGAATGGTTAAAGAAATCCAAAATGAACTTCTTCAAAAAATAATTTCTGTCTTTCATTTGACAAATTTACTTTTAATTATTTTACAATAAATTCTCATTATAGAATAACTTTAGATAGGTTAGCAACATATGCATTCATATCTGCTTTAGAGGGCTTTTTTTCATTATCCAGTAGATATTCTCAAAGATATCTAAACAGTAAGTGTCTGGGATTAGGTTTTCTTCAATTCCCTATGCAATTATTTAAGTCCTCCTACCTCACAGAATAACAAGGTAGGAAAACAAGCAAAATATTCCTAAAATGCCCTCCCTATTAGGCTATATTTTACCTGAATCTAGTGTAACTAAAACATCATTTGTTATAGGGACCTATTTATAAAATGTTTTTTCTTCCTTGTCCCATTTAGTTAAAAATAGGCTCTGGTGTACCTTTGCCACAAAGCAAAAGAAAAAGCAAAGCCAAGAAGTACTAGTTACTTAATGTCTACAGTTAAACCCAACTGTTCAAGCAGTTCCATGCAGATATCTGTGCCAAACATCAGTGGGTCTCTGCACAGGTGGTAGGGTCCAGCTGCATGGAGCTCCTGTCACTGCTGGCAGTCTTTTTAAATTTTAGTCTAAGTAAATTTTACTCAAGCTGTGATGTCTCATGTTTCTTAAAGAAAATACATTGATATAATAAAAGCAATTTTAATATAGAGGCCAAAAAGTTGTGCAATAGGACTATCACTTCATTTAGATGATTTATTGTTTTATAAATGTGCCTACATTATTAATTATTATGATTTATTTGTATTACATTTACACGTATAGATCTCAGCTGAGATCAGGGTACCAGTGCTAGGTATTATACAAACATATTAAGAAATAGTCCCTGACCCCAAAGAGCTCATAATCTAAGTAGAGGTGACAAAGAATGAGAGGGGAAACACTCACAAAGTACAGCAGAAATCTGTTTAATCTAATTGGGGCCAGGGCCAGATCAGATCATCAAAAATTCAGATAATCCAGAGAATGGAAAAAGTGCAAGGCAGTAGCTCTATCTAGCAGCCAACAGAGATATTGCATGCTTCTGGACCTGTGCACGCCGGTTTTTCAGTTAATACGAAGAGCTGGATAAAGAAGTGTTGGATAAACTGGGTTCTACTGTCGTAAAGTGAATTGTCCAGGGTCACATAATGGTTTAATGTCTGGGCCAGGAATAAACCATATCTCCTGATTCCTAGTTTAGCATCCTGACCACTAGACTACACTACCCCCTTAATAAATTTGTAGTTCTGCTATAAACCCATTAGAGTGAGATAGTGGGCACATATGTATCATTATATCCTCCTACCTATTCATTTATTGGGTCCTCTGGAAAATGACAGTCTTAGGAGGGTTACTTGCTATTGTTTTATTAATTAAAACCTGTTTCAATGTTTGAAACCATTACATTAATACTGTTTAAGCTAAAAAAAAAAAAAAGCAATTCATAGTCTCAAGAGAAACTATTCACAAGTAAAGAAATTACCCTTTGGGAATGAACTTTCCCATACCTTTTATTTTTCGTTTTCATTTTCCATAATAAATTCACTTTAAAAGTTTGTTATAATACTGTTATGCCATTGTTTTATTTTGTTTTCTTATCTGAACAAACAAGGAAGGAGGGAAGCATGTTTCAGCATAAAGAACTTTTGAGAGTTGGTATAGGAAATGAAGGGTGCTTCGTTAACTCAAAAATGGTCTATTTTTAAAATCTCAAGTTACCTGTACCCTTCACGCCATAACAAATGTTTGATTAGTCATATCCGGAAGCATTAACCTCTTAATAGTCGACGTTAGAGTTTCCCAATATGACTCATTCTGTGTGATTGTGTCCAAATGTTTGTTGTTCAGCTCACCATGTGATTTTGTATGCAATTTTATTGTATTTTAAGTCCATATTAGGTCACAGCTTTGTTTCTTTTTGTGTCCTTACTGCTTTATTTTGTAATTTCATTTCTAAATTTTAGAGGATGTTAACCATTCCTTTTTGCCAACTTGCTGCATCATAATTGCCTTTTGCAGTCAACAGTATCGTGGATATATCGAAAATAGATTTTGTGGTTTGAGAAAACAAAGTCTTTAAAAGTCACCAAAAATTACCACTTTTATTTGCAATTAAAGTACTTAAAACGTTACAGTGAAGAAAATTCCAAATTTACAATTTACACATAATCAGTGGTCTGCCTTTTGCTAGCACCATGTTGCTTTCCTTTTACTCTCCCTCTGGGCTTTTCTGAAGAAAAGGCTGTCAGTCATGCCCCTTCGAATCATTTGAGGAATGTATGAAATCACCAAACTTTTTTTTCCATTTAAGATTTTAACCCATATCTTCAGAAGTGGAAGGTAGAGTATTACCTTATACAGTCATATATTTCTGCACTTACTGTCCATCCTAACCATTTAGCAATTTTCTTACTGCATTGCTGGTGTTAATATTCTCAATTTTTCCATTTTGGAGAATATGAAGACGGTGATCTATCATCTTGGATAAACCGAGAGAGATTCCAAGCGTATCTTAATGTAGATGGGTTTACACTCTATGAACTTGGAGATACAGGTAAGAAGCTCCCACCTTCAAGTTATTTACAATATTTACTGAAGCCACAAAGAAAATGGAATAAAAATTATTTTTAAGCCTCCAAAAGAAATTACATTCAGATTTAAGGCTCATACTTCCCAGTTGATTCTTAGTACACTAAAAATCTCACGTGGACCTCAGTACACATACTTTAATACCTAATCACAATTGGGCTGAGTTAAATCAAATTTCATCCGTCTAGAAAGATCATAGAAAGCATGCATGATTCCTGACTAAACTCTGCAGGAAATCTGGATGTGTTGTTCTTTATTTTAGGAAAACCTTCTGCATTTAGGGACTGAGCCAAACCCACTGAAGTCAGTGTAAGTCTTTCCTTTGTCTTTAATGGACTTTGGATGAAGCCCTTATTTTTAGCTCCAAAATACACACAATATAGTGTTGCCAATTCTGTACTGTTCAGCGAAACTGAGTAGACTACAAGTTTGAGATTAGACTAAACTATGTTTCATTGGTGTTGTGTAGATTACCCTCCAAGAGCCTCGTGAACATGTATGTATGTGAGTTTTGTAATGTATGTTTAAGGAACATTGCAAACCTAGTTTGGCTCAATTGTGTTGAATTGTTTGGGGGTTGGATAGGAGAAAAAATAATGGATATTCATGATGGTACTTCTTTCAAATCAAAATTTATTTGGTTTGTGGAATTTCAGTTGAGAAGAATAATCTGTTATCCTATACACCTGAGAGGTACAGGATTACAGCTAGTGTTTAAAATAGATACATGAGTGTAGTTTAACATCTACGGTGTAAATTTTCAGAGGTAACTAAATACCAAACTTAAGATGGCTTGAAGGAGCCTGATTTTCGGAAAGTGCTTAGTCACTCTCTGAAAACCAACCCCTTTTTAAGATCTCTCAAGTTGGAAGTCCAAAATTGCTATCTACCTCTGAAAATGTAGGCCTTTATACACCAAAACACTGACTTTTTTCAAATTCAAGAAAGTAAAATGTCCACTAATTTAGATCATTATGAACGTGTATAGCAGTTTCTGTCTTATAAATAGAAATGTATAAAAGTGCTGGAACATCTTTTAATTATAGTTTCAGTTCCATCATCAGTATTAGCAAATCCTGTTAGTTATAATAGTGATTATTTTGCGAAATAGCAAGAGACATTAGTTGATTCTGTCAATGCGATAAAGAATACGTATCTTCAAGTTGTGTCCAATATCATTATGAAGGAATATCTTGCCCACAATGAGACTTGTGAATTCATCCACGTTTCTCTAGAAATCTCAAAAGCACTTGAGAGAAGTGTCTCTAATAAAGAGGCATTGAGATGTTAATATGTTAAGGTCTAAAGGGAACAAGGAGAAGTGGGTTTGTGGTGGGAGCATGGAAAGTGATGGGAGAAAGTCCCCACCCCCATCGCATTTTTAGTCCTTCTCCCAACCTCAAAGAAATCCCTCTGCAACTGCACCATGGAGAAGTGGAATGGGGAGGAGCTGT